TCCACGTCAGCATACTAGCAAATTTTGATGAAAGACCGTATAATAGTGAGTTTCTGGTTGAGACGATTTATGAACTTTCCCCAATTTTTGCCAACATATCGACATTTCAAAATGTTTCTGAGTTTTGTATTCATTTTAAATTCATTCGTATTTCGTTAAATTTGTATTGGTATTTCACGCCCTTAGTAATGGATCAAATTATCTCGGCTAATCTGCCATTTGAATGCATTGCGTTTTCGGCTTTTTCCAACGCTAAAATACAAATACAAAATTGAGGCTTTAAAAACCCTTTCTAATATGTTCTTAAAAAGATATTTATAAACTTATCAGATTTATCTGTTTAATAAAAAATATGCAAAGACACGCACGGGCAAGATTCGCATGTTTTCCTTGCCTGTCATCATCGAGTTTCCGGTTTTGCTGTATAGCCCTTTAATGGATTTATTACTTCCAGTACCCAAAAAACAGCTCCGCAATCTGTTTTTAAACACTTGACGAAAATAGGCCGGATGTGAGGATTGCACCACGGTGCAGAATTACTGCGTGGATTTGGAAGGAGGAGGAGCCATCCGATGAGGTGGAGGATTTACCACCGCGTCACTTCTATAACAAGCCATTTTTACTGTGCTGAACAGAAATTCTGACTGGATTTATGTATCGCCAGATGCTTCAAGAGCTTCGTGAAGCCAAGCTGTTGGCTTCAGAAACTGAAGTCAAGCGTGTTGAAGCCACTTTCATCGCGAAGCAACCAGTCTCTGCTACGGAAGCCCCGGAAAATACGCCTGATTCTGATGATGAGGAGCCAAAAGTAAAGCCGTTGAAGCCGTTGCTACGTATTGATTCTAAGTAGGCTTAACTTGAAATTATTCAGATGCTTAGAAGCTTAGATTTTTGTTTGTATCTCTTAATTAATATCGATAATTAGGGTTCTAAGAACCTTAGCATTACGTCCTATTTTTATCTCCATTTTTCAGGTCCGAGCTGAAGCTCCTACGCTCGAATTCTATAAAATCCGAAAATCACGTTGTAAAACTGAAACGACCGGATTCGACAGCTTCACAATCCAAGAATCCGAGTGCGAAGCCAAAGATCAAGCTCGTGCTCAAGCACACTGATTCAAGGAAGCTTTCGCGTTTGCGAGGTGACGACGATACGATCAAAACTCTCTCGGGAAGCAGCGAAGAAACGAAGAAAGCATCCTGGCAAAATCAAAAGCGCCATCAGAGTAAGCACAGCCTGACGATGCCGAGCGATCTTGAGATGCAGGTACTCATGGCTCTTCAAGTTGCCAACGGATCGCTTCAAAAGTTACTTCCAAAAAGAAATTTTATATGCTAAATTCGTAAAACTCCCCTAAATTGTTTGATTATTTCCTCCACTCAATAACTTTTGACAAAAAAGCTCCCCAAACACAATCTAAACAAAATAAACATTAGAAAACTATTTGCAAAAACCTAACCCCGATTTTCAGACAGACGTTGTTACCACGGGACAACAAGCCAAGGAAACTGTACATGAACTTCTCAACAACATTACCAATAACGATGAGCTTCCGACTCTTTGTGAGTGTACTTATCAATACTTACTCTACTAAATTTTTATGTAGTCACAGCAAAATCACCATTTTTTGCAGACGAGAAGACGTTCGCCCAGATGCGACGGTTGAGCGAGAAACAGCGGCGAATTCTGAAGGCAACATTTGCCGAGCTGGAGGCTGATGGCGTCAAATACATCTTGAGGGTCTTCGTTTTGTAGGTTTTTACAAGGGCATCTGAAAAATTCATATTTATGTCCAATCTAATCCAATTTAGGCTCTTTTCCGAGCACCCGGGCTACAAGCAAATTTGGCCCCAGTTCCGGCAGATTCCAGATTCCGCGCTGATCAATGCGATCGAGTTGAAAAGACACTGCTCGGTAAGAGAGGGAGAGAGGGAAAGCTATAGAGAGAGAGAGGGAGAGAGAGGGAGAGAGAGTGATAGAGAGAGGCAAGATAGCTTAAAAGCCTCACGAATCATCATCATCAGGTGTACATCAACGGTCTCAAGGAGGTCATCCACGCCATGGACGACGAAGATGAAATGATCTCACATTTGAACCGAATCGCTCGAGCACATATCAAGTGGGGTGTTCAGCGGTCTCATGTGCTGGTGAGAAACCATTTAAATCTAAAAAAGCAGGCAATTAAATTAAGTAAATAAATTTAATGAAATCTACCATCGCCAAAAGCGTCTGACGAACTGAAAGCGTTCTTTAGGCCATGGTCGACCCAATTTTGAGCACGATTCGGTATTGCACGGGCAAACTGGATCGAGAGACTGCGGATGCGTGGACGACACTCTACGATGTGATTGCAAACCTGATTGAGATATTTCGGGCTCGAAATAAGGCAGATATGGCCAGGGAGGAGTTGCATCGAAACCTCAATTACCCACGTCAACATACTAGCAAATTTTGATCCAAAATTGTCTACGTTTTATTAAATGGATTTCAAGGTATCGAAAAATACTATTTGTACATCTTTATTGCCGTCAAACAATTTTTTTCAGGCTTTTGACGCTAGAAACTGCGTGAGAACGTAAAAATATCTTTCTGGCGTAAAAATTCGAAGGCCAAAGAATAGTTTTTGGCGTTCAAAAAACTGCTATTTAAAAAATACCTTGAAAACTCTGGAAAATGTTCTAAATTCCTATTTTGATTTCCAAATCCCGGGAACCTAACGTTACTTGACTCCAAACACTACTACACTTGACTCCCCACGTTCTTTTGGTTGTTTTTGAAAATGCTCGACGCCTCGTACACCTCCAAAGTGTGACAGATTGCAATCTATTTCGGTGTCTCATTCCTGTGGAACTGTTCTTTTCCCCGTCCTTCCCCCAATTTTCACGAAAATATGTTTATTCGGCCGCCTGCGCCCCGTTGTCTCGATAAATGATCAGAGAACCCGGTGATAAAGATTAGATTTTTGAGCGTATACTGGCAAAAAATAGGCATAGGCGAAAACAGGTAGTAAAAGATGGTTTTTGTATTAACAGCTTGCTTCTCAAACCTACACAGGCCCATGCATCCACCCAAATTCCGTGTGGATTCCACCTGGAATTCGGGTGGAACGCATCGAAATCGGGTGGAAATCGGGTGGACGCAGTGGAAATCGAGTGGAAACACGACGCAACACGGGCCCCACGCGTCGCGGCAAATGGAAATCGAGTGGAAACCGAGTGGATCCACTTGGTTTCCACTCGATTTCCATGCGTTCCACCCGGAATCCAATCGATTTCCATGTGGAATCCACTCGCGTCCGCTAGTGGAATTCCCCTCGATCCCCTCCGGGATTCCGAGTGGATTTCGGGTGGATGCACTGACCTGTGCCACTTGGAACGTCAGCATTCCACGAGCTTCGATTCACAGAAACAGAACCCATTTGTAGTTGACATAATGTGAGGGCAGTTCGACAGCAAGAATTGGTTTTCCCCTCTATTTATACCTTGATTTTGAAAACTTTTTATTGCTGGAACACCTCAAAATTATCTTTCTACGAAATTTCGGGCCTAGCTGATCGGGAGGAAATGCCATCCAAACTCTAAGTAATCGGATAGCTGGTAATAAAGGATAGTTTTTGGACAATACCTTACTTCTGAAAGCACTGCGAAGCTGCTGAAATCTGGAAAATGCAATTTTACACAATTTTAAAACAAGTTTTGGGGCGTAAAAACGGCATCCATCGGCTGGATAACCGAAACGGGTAATCATGGCTAGGATTTCGTATGATATCTGATTCACAAATCCTCTTGAAGCTGTAGGATACTGAAAGACGCAATTTGGCACAGAAACTCAGCTACTCGAAAAAAATTTTTGACGAGTAGATAATATCAGAGAAGTCGGCCATGCAACCGAATTGCTGTTAACAAGGGCTAGTTTCTCAACTCATGCCTTACTTTTCAAAACACTTTGGAGTTCAAGACCACATAAAAATCCATTTTTGCAGCGAGTTCAGCCCATAAAACGGTTTTGCCCTAACCTTGGGATCTAGCTGTCACTCCTCAAATTCCCCCAGTTTTCCCTCAATTTTTTTGCCGAATTTGGCGCGTTCCCGGGTTGCTTATCTCGCGCTGCTCGATTGCTGGGATCGCAACCGGGGCAAAAAGACCTCGTGGAAATTGCGAACTGGAATCGGCTGTCGTCTCCGTCTCTCGAATTCCTTGGTCTCTCTTTCTCATGTCTCTGATGCCTCTCATCGGGGCACTCTCTCGTCGGCCATCCCCCCACGTGCTTCCTTCCACCCTTCCAGCCAGCCAGTCTTTGGGCCATTTCGTGTCAACAACCCCTGGTTCGCATGAAATCCGCACTTTTGCTGGGGGGTTTTGTCATTTTCTCTAGAACTTGGGAGTGCATTACAGCGTATTTCTAGGGCTAGACATTCAAAAGATGAGAAATTACACTTTAAACGCTTTTGAACATTTTTCGGACTAAAATAGTAATATATCTATTTAATTTTGTCAAATCAGCGTTTTTTCTGGGGTTTAGTTATTTTCGATCGAGCCTCTAGCAGTATACTACAGCGTATTTCTAGGACTAGACACTGTAAAACAACGAGAAAACGGTACTTTACAACTTTTTTTAAGCTGAAATCGTTTGTATCAATTTATCTTTGCTTAATTTTAGCGTCCTGAGGTAGAAATTTAATGTTTTTTAATATTAGAAGCGAAAACGGCTGTTGTCTACGGGCAAAAAGCATCAAGATTCGTATCAAGATCGTAATGTGTAGAGAAACGCGTATTTTTAGTTCTAAGCTTTGTTATCTCTTGCAACCTGGTAAAATTCTTTTTCTAAATTTAAAATTAAATGCGTTCTATTGAAGTCCATGACCTTCTAAACTCTTCAATACGCCTTCCAACTTCGTTACCATCGCTTTCTATTGAAAAGGATCTAATCAGAAAATTTGCAGATCACCTCACTCTACACCTCAATTTCCCCTACCTCCACTTCAGCGGCCTTTGTACATAATGGTAAGCCATATCCTATTTTTGGATTCTCACTTTTTTTTAGAAAATAGAACACGTTCCCCTGGACGCCTGGGAGGGCGTCGCCCGCCATTTGGACGCCTACTCGCTGACGAATTTGGCCCAAACCTCGCACCACTTCGAGAACCTGTTCCGGAAATCACGTGTACTGCAGAGGGCTCCGCGCAGCGTTCTTCACCTCACTTTCCGTAGCCAGGTAAGGTTACGCTTTTGAAAAAATACTCGCAAAGCCCTAAACTGCGATTTCAACGCTTTATTTGAATTTTTGAGCTTCTCCCAGGCATTGAAGTCGGCAAAAAAAACATTTCCGGACTTTTCCCCCAAAAAGCAAAAGAATTCCAACCAACCGGATTTGAACCAGTGACCTAAGGATAGCTGCCGACTCTACAGTCCTCCGCTCTACCAACTGAGCTATGGTTGGGTCGGGGATAGGGCGCGGCGGAAGGGGCTATCTGCCCATTGACTGACACCCCGCCCGGTGGCAGCAGGCAATCAAAAAGCGGTTCAAGGCATGCTAATACCCCCACTTTTTCAGCACATTTCCGTGTGCCTCGACGGCTATTGCTACTGCTTCTGCGAGCCGGGCTCGCTGCGTCGATTTGCGAACCCGGACTTCACCTATTGGTGCGTTTTTGAACTTTAAATTGTTGTTATGAAAAATAGTAGTAATAAATTAACGTTTCTTGGTCAAAACTAGCTGTTTTTAAACGTTTTCTATGCAAAAATTCTGCATTTTTTTGCTTCAAAGTGCTTCAAACCCGTGTTAAAGTCTTGTTGCAGTTTCTTTGATCTTTACCCCAATCTCGCTGCAAATTTTCTTGCTTACTAGGCAAATATTTGGGGACACGACGCAGATAAGGACTGTTTTTATGAGTCGAAAATTTTTCTGTTTTTGCCAGATTGCAACTAAACCGTTTTTCCAAGAGTCAAAAGCCGAGAAAATGCATGAAAAGTTTAAAAAGGAATTTTTAGTTGCTGCCTGCACAAATGGTCGTTCCGGCGCTTCGTGTGCCCTTCGGAAGACTTTGTATATGCGGCGACGAGGGCCATATCGAAGATTTTGCGCTCAAAATACTTCCGCGTCGATGTTGTACATGTCGGTTTTCATAGTTTTTCGAATAATGTCTTTTTTTTTAGTTTCTCGAGCATCCGTGGTACATGTCGATGGAGCTGGATGACAGCCTTTTCTACCAGGAAACACCGGTAAGCGATTTTTACGCATTTTGGATACTTTCACGACTTTGAAATCGACAAAGTTCGCTATAGTATCGAAATTCAGTGAGTAAATTTATTAAAACGTTAAAAGGCATTTTCATGCCGTTTTTGAAGGCTTTAACCTACTTTTTAAAAGGATTTTCGCGTAGTTCCGCTCGCTAGGAAATAGCACTTTTCTGAAAAAGTCTTGCCTATCTAATCCCTTTTTCAGGTAACCTCCGTGCAAAAAGCGCTACAAGAACTCGGCCAAAATCTGGAGTATCCTGCTCGGGTCGTGCTGCCCTACGGCTACCGCGAGCACATCGGCCACTGTGGCGGCAACTTCAACTCCCGCTTCCGCATCTTCCACCGTCGGCTTTTGGAGGTATTTTTCAGTTTTTCATCATTGAGCTAATCTCTTCTAGGGCTTCGACTTTGACGACGCCGGCAAGCTGATCAACCAGCTGCTCGACAAAGGGCACGAGTCGGACGCGATGGCGGCTGAAGTTCTCGATCAGCTCGAACCGTGGCAAGTCGAGCGGTACAGGGAGCTCGAGGCGAGGTTGAGCCTGCCAGAGGTATGGCAATATTTTTTGTAGCGTCTTTTAAAGGCAATACGAAGCCCAAAATCGAGTTTTCTTGGACTAGGTAAGAACAGCTAAGCGACGAGCCAAAAATCGGGCTAGAAAATATTTTTCATTCGACATGAGGCGTATCGCGTAGTTTTCGACACCTAGTTTATCCAGCGAACGTCGACTCGGTACAGGCTACCGCCACGCCAAAAACCGGGAATATAGAACTTTTTGAACATGTCATTTGGCGTATCGCGTAGCGTTCGAAACCTAGGAATAGAGCGGTCGATTTTTACGCATTTTTTGCCTTTTAAAATACGAATTAACTTTTTAAAACCCCATTGAACTAGCCTTTTCCAGGGCCTCTTCGCCGCGATCACCCCCTCCGAAGCGCACAACACGGTCCAGGATTTCTCGCGTGACCTCGTTGGTGGTTTGCGGGCTGATTGGTCTGAATAAAGCCCGTTTTGCTCGTTTCATCGTCCAGCCGGCCACGCAATCGAACCCACTTTTTGGTGCACGAATGAAAATGCACAAAGATGTGGGGGCGTGGCCTGGGAAGGCGGAGGACCGAGCGGCGGCAGTGGAGAATCAGAGACACAGCTAGTGTTTTTACTGATTTTCGGCTGTAGAGGCGTTTTTTTGGGGACCAATCAGTCTGAAAAAATTTCTAACTATTTTTCCGTTTTTTTTTTGGCGTACAGAGAATAACAGTGGGAATTCAATTACGGGTATAAAAGAGAGAGAGAGAGAGAGAGAGAGAGAGAGAGAGAGCGAGAGAGATAACGTGAGACTCGCGCTCCAGCTTCGGAAGTACGCCCGCTCGTGCCGTCCGCAAGTTTTCCACCCAATGGCGTATACAAATTCAGGTCCCCATCCGGGATTTGTATACGAGCGGAAGCGGATGCGGAGAAGCCACGGTTTCTGATCGACCTGCAAGCGATCTTCCGCCCTACGTTGCGCGTCTAGCTACACCTTGACATACATTTAATATTTTTCAAAAACCTAGTGTAATCAGTTTAATCGTTCTTTTTAGGCTCAACGCGCTTCCGCTTCTCGCCACGATATCGGAGAGCGGCTGTTTCCGTGCTTTGCCCTCGACTACCATCAGCGAAATTCTGAAGCGTCATCGTCGTCTCAAGAATAAACCAAAGCCATCGTCTTCTTGTGAATAGACGTTTAGCTTTTTGTCATTAGATTTTACGTTTGGTAATTTCTAGAATATTTCGTTGTTAGTTTTGTCTAAAAATTTTTCCCCATTGCTTTGCTTTGTACATAATCCACATCTAGTCCCTTGCTCTATTACGTGTTCAAATTTCAGAAAAGCTTATGGTTTTCTACCGGTGACATTGTTGTTTTGACGAATTTTTCTTTTGGAAGGATACTCGAAGATAAATAGTTGTTTCTGGATTCTAAGAAGTTCTGAAAAGAGCACAAGAAGTTGTTGAAGCCAGTCCTACATTATTCGGATCGAAATACTTATCTTCGAAAGCTTATTATATATTTTTGCTTATCTTGCCTTCGTAGCTTACTTTTCCTCTTACCTATCGATTGCTCTGACACCGTATTGGCACAAAAGCGGTCGCGGCCCGGCGGAAAAGCGTATTTTTAATCATTTTCGCTTGTTTTAGACTCGAAAGCTCTTCTTTTGTTTACAAAAACCATCTCAATAGTAGTTTTATTGCGCTTTTTCAGGTATGAGCCTACTTCGTCTCGGGTCATCCGCCTTCCGGGCCATCCATCCGCGGTTCGTTTTCATTAATTCACAAGTATAAACTCTCGATGAACCGGTTATAATGCTTCTTTTAGTTTCCTCTCCCAAGGCGCTTTCGAGAAGGCCCAGGCGGATTTGAAGAAGCTGAAGGAAGAGCCGGACAACGAGACGAAGCTCAAGATCTATGCGCTGTACAAGCAGGTTTGAGGCTTTTATAGTTTTTCTTTATAAAACAAATTTAGGCAAGCGAGGGTGACGTTGCCGGCTCACGGCCCGGGATGATGGACTTTGTGAAGCGGGCAAAGTACGATGCGTGGAGCCAGTTGAAAGGCACTACCAAGGTAATATCCTTGTTATATTTATAGTTTTACGTCTTGTTTAGGACGATGCCTCTTCAAAGTACGTCGGACTGATCAAGCAGCTGCTGGCCGAGGATGCAACGGAAGTGGCGGATAGCGGACCCGGGATTGCGGAGCTGCCAAAGATTCAAGGGCTAGATGTATGGCTTTCTAAGATTTTCCAACGCTAGTTTTAGTACGCAATCGAAGGAAAAGTCTTCAAAATGACGCTGAACCGCCCGAAGAAATTCAACGCGCTCACGCTGGACATGTATCGCGGAATCCAGGTTTGTTCTTTTGGCTTGCTTTTTGAAGTTTTTATGATTTAGGAAGGTCTAAAATACGCTCAAGGAAACCCCAGCGTAACGATCGCTGTTTTGACTGGTAGGAGATTACTCACTTTTTATTACGTCATTCTAGGTACTGGCAACTACTTCTGCTCGGGCAACGATCTCAGCAACTTTGCCGCCGCGGCGACGAAAGATGCGGCCGGCGTCAAGGAGATGGCCGAAGAGGCAAAAGTTGTTCTGAGGGACTACGTTAAGGTATCTGATCTATTCGCTATCGCTTATTAATCGTTTCCTTTTAGGCTTACATCGATTTCGACAAGCCGCTCGTCGCCCTGATCAACGGCCCGGCCATCGGCATTTCCGTGACCGTGTTGGCGCTGTTTGACGCGGTTTACGCCACGAATAAGGTATATCGCTTCGTTTTTAGGTATCTTACGTATTGTCATTTAGGCGACGTTCCAAACGCCCTTCGCTCAAGTCGGCCAGAGCCCGGAGGGCGCCTCCGCCTACACGTTCCCATTGTTGATGGGCCCGACGCGTGCTGCTGAGGTTTAAACGCTTTTTGAAACTTAGTATGGCTATTTAGTTTCTCCTCTTCGGGCGCAAACTCTCGGCTCTCGAGGCGAAGGAGTTCGGCCTGGTCAATGAGGTGTTCGAGGAGGCTACCTTCATTCAGGTATATAACTTTATGGAATCTAATTTTTGCTGGAATTCCGTAGATGCCTATTGCAATATAGCACGTCTTTTAAGAGGCTATTCACGAAAATTCAGCATTTTTTCGTGAAAAAAATTACCTATAGCACTTATAAAAACGCTTGACATTTTCAAAGTTTGGTCGAAAATCGTTACTTTTGTAGCTTTAACAGGCATTTACTAACCTTTACGTTTTTTAATCGTAAAATAGAGTTTACTTATACTTTGGTTTATATTAGAAAACTCGCTCCGAAAGAAAAAGTTTGTTTCCCTCTGGGAAACAAACGCTCAAGAATCCTGCTTTTTTAAGATCTTACTTTTTCAGCAAACCTCCTCTCTGCTCGCCAAGTATTCATCGCTGCCCCCGGAGAGTATGCGCGAGAGCAAGAAGCTGCTCCGCAAGATCCACAAGGACAATTTGTACAAGGTCAACGAGGTAAATTTCCTGAGATTGATTTGATTTTACAAACTTTTTTTAGGAGGAGTGTGACCTGATCTGCGACCGCTGGCAGAGCGCCGAGTGCAAGAATGCCATCGCCAACTTCCTGAGCAAGTCGAAGAAGTAACTGTGTATATTAACTAGGTGTTTGCTTATTTTTGTAGACCTTGAATTTCTGTGTACTTAATGATGAAGAACCTATCGTCGCCTTTTGCCATGTGTTTACTCGGGTCCGGTATGTAATAATAAACTTTTCTAGTTAGTTGGAGCTTCATACATTAATAGAGCTTATATATTTCGAACAGTTGTTTGAATGGATAGGCTTACGATGTGAAGCGCAAACGGTTGTGTAACGCTACGCGCCTAACGACAACGACAGATTTATTATTGATTTTTGGAGAAAACAAAAAGATATTTGGCTTATTGCTGGTCTTCCGGCCCCGCGGAATCGTCGGGGAAATCGACGTGATTCGGGTGCTTCTTCCCGCCGTGATCCCGGATGGCGGCCGTTTCGGTGCTTTCGCCGTGTGTTTCGTCCGAGTCATCCTGTAACGTTATCGTCGTACTTTTAAAAAGTTACTTCTTGATCCTTAGGCTTCTCCTTCACTTCTTTATCGGGTTTCGGCTCTTCTTTTTCAGGTTTTGGCGGGGGAACGTGGTTTCCGGGCTGGTGCAGCTGCAAAATTGACCTTTTCGCTAGTTTGTAGTGAGTTTCGAACTCGAACGACTTTGTTCTTATTTCAAGGAGACCTCTCTATAGCAAACCTACGTCAATCGGCAGCCATGGTTGAGCAGATTTTTCCTGAAAATGGGTTTTTCTAGTTTCGTAAGTAAATCCAGGCCTTACCTCAGAATCTTGACGTCCAGCGTTACGCACCACACCGGCCACCTAGAAAGCTATTTTTCAACGTCACGAATTCGTCTGTTTTGCGTTCATTTTATAACATCCGGTCTATTTATTCAAGCATCATCGACCTTATGCCTTCTTGGCTGGAAGTCGTCATTTCGGTCAAAGTCCTCGAAGCGATGCGCCGGGAATCGGTGATGGTGATGGCGATGGGGTCCGGGCTAAAAACGTAGTTTTTACATTACAAATCGGTCACTAAAAGAAAGAGAAAATATAGTATTCTAGGGCCCACAATCCGCTTCGGCTGCATATCCGGGTCTTGTGTGTCAAGCTCCACCTCGGGGGCTTCAGTCACGGCGTCAAGCTGGATTTCCTGGAACGGCTCGGGTATTTTTGAAAACATATTTATTTTTTAGCGTTTTATTTCCTACCTGACCGTCATTTCCGGAATTTGGGGCTGGAATTCGGCTCGGGAGGATTTCGGCCGAGATGTCTTTGTTGTCATTCTTGTTCTTGTCCTCGTCAGATTCATTGGTCTGCTTGGGAATTTCGATCTTATTCCCCTCAGTCTGGCTATTGCTTTTCTAAAGTTCGCTGATTATGATTTATTTTAGAATAGAATAGAGAACCTTTTTAGGACATTTTTAAAATCGGTTTTTGTATTTCCGAAGTTGGAAACTACCTTCTCATCATTTCCAAAGCTCGGCGCCGGGATTCGACTGGGTAAAATCTCGACTGAGATGTCGAGGTTGTCATTCTTTTGCTTGTTGTCGGTATTCTTGCTCGTCTTCGGGATTTCCACATCCTTAGGAGCCTTCTGAAGATTAAATTCAATTTACGCGACAGACTCCTTTCAAACCTTTGGCACTTCCGTCGTGGCAGCCAAGACATCATCGTCTTCCTAAACTCGATAATTCTGGAGTTTAATTTTCGCAAAATACCGTAGAACCCTGGGCGTTGTCTCCTTGTTGATTCTTCTGATCTTGCAGGCCCGGGTTCTAAATATCAGAGTGGAAAAGTTGAGCATAAGAACGAAACCTGCGAATCGGGGCGAATGATCATCGGGACGAAGCCGTTCGGCGTTTGGACCATCACGATCAGAGCTTCCTGAAAATATCGACTTCGAATTTTTTTTATTAAATCTGTTTAAAGTTATGAAACGTAGCGGAACAGTCATGGTACTTACCTTTGGGAACGGCGAGTTCTGAAGCAGAACAGTCTCGCCATGGTGGTTACGCGTGATCGTGAAGTCTTGGGAGTGGCTCTAAAATGTATGGTATTTTTGCTGCACCTCTATTTCTTAATGTTCTTGCAAATTCCTCAATAATCCCTGCTATCTTGCCGTTTTCCCCTATTTTTGAACCCACCAAGACTGAGGGCCGGCTGTTCTGCTGGAACCCGGAGTTGCCGGAGTTTTGAGGCGGGCTGCTTTTCTGTGGCCTCTCCAGGGGGACAAATTGGGGTTGTTGGTCTTCAGAATCTTCCTCGTCGTCAGCTTGTTTCGGGATGAAGACGGGTTGCTTATTCTTTGGCTTGGAGCGATCGGAGTTTTGGTCGGGGAGAATCGGGGTCGGGATGAGAGCGAGGCGGCCGATGGCATGCTGCTGCTCGGCGAGGATCGTCATCGGGGTCTGGAAATAGGAAAGTCACGTAGTTATGGCGCAAAAATGTCACAGATATTTGTAGTCTTAATTCTTTTAATTGTGGCCCCTCTTTTTCGAAAATCTGGCAGCTACCGCGGTTCAATTTCTAACGGCCCAAAACGTCGAACAGTCGAAAAACGAAATATCGACAAATAAAAACGTCGTGAAAATAAATGATTATGCCAGGTATCAAGGTTACTGTAACGGTTTAAAATTTTAATAGTAAAATTTTACTAGCTAGCAGAAAATTTAAGATATCGCCGACCCACATCAGACTTGGCGATGCTCTGCTCGATGGCCTTCTCGACGAGCGACTTCTTCGGCTTCAAATGTTTCGAATTTTGTTGTCTGTCATCGTCCATATCATCGTAATCATCCTCATCGTCGTCGTCGTCTTCAGAAAACCCGAGGAATGGGAACAGCTCTTGGCGGAATTGATGGATGGCGTCTGGTGGGCCTCGGATTCTCTAAAATATTCTCAAAAATAGTTAAAAAGATATATTTCATTTCCATTTTAATGATGTTTTTATTCTTTTTCTAGGTGGAGGTTTTTCCAGGTTTTTTTTCTGGATCCGAATTATCAATCCATTAATGCTTCAAGCCTTGTGAGCTCGCAACGAAATATTTATGACCGAAGTCAGCTTATACTCTTTACCTTTGAAGCTCAAGCTCAAAGCCCACCGTCTCCTCAGTGATCGTGATCTTCTTCGGGACCAGGCGCTGCTCATTTTTCTCATTTTGACGCCTCGGAGGAAGGGTCGTCGCATCGAGCTCAGGCATCAAGTCATCGATTGTGGATGAAGCGGCCGTAGTCGCCTCAAAGATGTCGATTTCTTCCTCGTTGACTTGGATCTTCTCATCGACCATCTCGAACTTCTCGATTTTCACGATCTTTGGCTTGGGCTTGTCGCTGAGCGTGGTGTTTAGGTCCTAAAAGCAGTGATTTTGGGATTTTAGACACTTTAAAATGGCTCTAGTTGTTAATGATCATTAGTAAATAATGATAGTTAAAACTTGCAAAATTCGGTAATTAAAGTGTTATTTCATACTTCATCCCTCGGCAACAGCGGATTCGCCAACAACGGATCCTTCACATCCCGCTCGTCCTTAGCGGCTAGCTAAAAATTTGTATTATGAAGCTATTTATAAAGCATAAATTCTACCGTTTATAAATCCAGCTAAAAGCCTACCGTAACGCCTAGAAAAAGCGCAAAAACCAGCAGGACTATCCGCATTGCGATGCCGGCTTTGAGAAATGATGGTAGAAGAAGATCCGGGGCGCTCGCGGTTTCGGCATAATATTATGGCTAGAGGCGGGTGACGGATGTTTCGTTGTCTGTGATGGTGTGTGCTAGATTTTTTTGGAGCTTCGGAAACTTGAAAAAAGGGAAGAGGATTTGTAAAATCAGCTTTTTCTCCATTTTTGATTATGGAGCCCCTTAAAAATGCAACGAACCCTTAGAAACCATTTTGGTGCTAATGCACTTGGGGGGCAGTCCCGATTTTGACTACAAGACGCTCCAAATGCCGTTTTTTAAACTCGAAGCCTCTGGAAAAGCTAAGCCAAGCCTAAGCCTAGGCTTAGCTTCATACAAACGAAGCTTAAGCTTAGCTTCGGCCAAGCTAAGCTTAGCTCTAAGCTTAGTCCTAAATGACCCCATTTTGACCACCTAAGGCAATTTAAAGCTCAAGTTAAGCTTAGCTTGGGCTTAAGCTTAAGCCTAAGCCTAAGTTAAGCTTAGTTAAAGCTAAGTTAAGCCTAGGCTTAAGCAGAAAACCAAGTAGCTTAAGCGGAGCGTCTCGTAACCCCTTACTACCAATTTCGGACTGCCCCCCCCTAACTGCATTAGCACCACCATTTTATAGCAGCTTAATAGAGGCTTTAAATTCAACTTAAAAAATTTAAACCTTTTTATATTCAGTTTTCAAAGCAAATTCGACGGAAAATATCCAGAAGCCCACAACGTTCCGCGGGGTCTATTTGATTCCAGGCCAATTGTACGCAAGCGCTGCGTGTCCGGTTCCGCGGGCACATAACCCCCTCTCCCAGTCCCCTCCTCGACCCAACCATAGCTCAGTTGGTAGAGCGGAGGACTGTAGAGTTGGCAGCTATCCTTAGGTCACTGGTTCGAATCCGGTTGGTTGGAATTCTTTTGCTTTTTGGGCAGAAAGTACTAGAAAAATCGTTTTAACGTTTCGAAGCCAAGGTCAAGCTCAAAAAAAATTGGAAAAAGCTGGGCTTAGGGCTTGACAAGCTTGATTTCGAAACACAAGCTTCGCGAAGCCTAGGTCACAGCAGCCGGGAACCAAATTTTGACGTGGAAACGCTGGCCTAAAAATCTGGTGTATTTTTTTTGGTCTTGGTCTTGCAGCCATTTTTTTGCTGTGCTTTACAATCGGCACGCGATTAAAATGTAAACTTTATTCACAGAAACTTTCCAAAAAAGGAAGAAGAATTCCGAAAAGCACAGGCACTGGGCGGTGTAAAGAAATTTCAAAGTTTTCGCTTGCGCAAGCTGCGTAGCGACCAGGCGGGGTAAAGCACAAAGTACAGAAAACACTCTCAACCAACGAAAAGCTGCCAAATCGCAGGGAAACCAGAAGCGTATATTTTTACAAACACTTAGAAATCTCCAAAAAGGCCGTGAAAGAGTATAGTTTTTAGTTATTGGTGGCAAGGCGGGAATGTGACGCTAGAAATTTGAACAATACAGCTTCAAAAAAAAAAACTAAAAATTTGGAGGCTAAAATCGTTTGGATTCGATGAAGTGAAAGGCTGATTTTTGGGGGGAATTGGCTGCACATATTAGGTAATTTTTGATATCACAGGGCGCGTCAATTAAATAGAAAAGTCCAAAACTAAAAATCGGAAAATAGGAAGCGTAGTAAGTAGAGCAATCAGTAGAACCAAGGAAAAGGGAGCTAAAAAAGCGCAAGAGGGTTAGAAAACGCTTGCAAAATCATTTCTGGTTGAATTTGGCGCGAATGTCGCGAACGGAGATGGGTTGCGACTCGCTGGTGTCGGTTTCGCTGTCGTTGGCCGGCTTGGGAAGCTTTGGCTTCGGGGCGCTAATCGTCGGCTTGGAGGGCTTGTCGAATTTGGGCTAAAAACGGGATAAAAGGTGTAAGCATTACGAGTACGTAAGGTCCAAATCAGAACCGGAAAATTTTCAATTTCCAGACAAGATTACCATTTATAGTTATAGAAAATTATTTAGATTCACACCACAAAACCCTTACAGTCGACTAAAATTAAGATAGGCTATGTTTTTAAATTTTTAAAGATTGAACTTCACGATTTTTATCATCAAAAACAAGCAGCAAACCTAATAGTAAGAAACCGGAAGTAATATTTACCTTATCAGCGACAGGTGGCGGCGGTGGCGGAATCGTCGGCGGTCTGTTCATCGACTCGGAACGCTGAATCTTCGACGTCGCGGCGACTGGCGAGGCTTTTGGGATAGGAGGTGGTGGTTTTTCGGCCGGGGAATCGGGTGGCACGACGTAGTGATGCTCTATCGGTTCCGTCCTGAAAAAAATAGGCAATAACGGTATAAAGGATCTTTAATCCTATCAATATTCTCAAAAAACGCTGCTGAAATTTTACAAGCCACGAAAATCCCGAGAACGAATCGATTTCCTAAAAACGCACCGTATCCCCATCTCGGCTCCGTGCTCCTCGTAGAGTGCTTGTAGCGCGGAATCCCTCGGTCTAGATGGAACCCCTGGTGGTGGTTGCGTGGGCCGATTCAGCGAATTCGAGCGGGACACGGTGATCGTAGGGGCGTTCGGTTGGAAGACGGCCTGAAACTGGAGATAGAAGACATTGAAAAACGCCGTTTTCCATAACTAAAAATCAAAAATAGCATTTAAAATTTGGTCTAACTTTCCGTAAGGAATTATAAAAACGTAAGCTACACAAATACCATACCGTAGCCGGGAAGCTGCTACCAGCGCCTTGGTAGTCGGGTACTGGATTCTTGATGGGGAGCGTGATAGGTGGCGATGGATTGTGGACGATGGGCACAGAGTTTTCGGCGGTTCGGTAGGTGACCGTGTGATGGTCACCCCAGCCCATGTTCAAGGAGAAGCGCTGAAAACAACAGACGATTAAAAATACGGCTGGTACCCAGATCAAAATTACACGCCTGAAATTTTACCACACGTGTAAACTTTTTACACACGCGTGTAAAAAAGTCTATAAACTCTCGATCTAGACAAAAACAACTTGACATAAAACTTTTCTAAAATTATTTTTAGCGAATCCAAAGCTTTCTATCGGAATAATCGATCGTAAAAACGCCTTTTATATTGTGTCCATTTTTCCTTTAGTTCTAGTGCATTGGAAACCGCCTAGTTACAACAGCAATAATTTAAAAAACATCCAGAAAATCTATGTCAATGAAAAAAAGCTAATTCGTCTTTTTTTAATCCGATTACAACAAATACCAATCCTTTTCTAAGATTCTCACCTTCATCCGCTGATGGCCACCACCACCGGGCGGAGGTGGCGCCTTTCTGACCGGCACCAAAACGCCGCGCAGGTTGAACGTATCCCGAGTCCATTTCCAGCATCTAAAACGTCCAAATTTCCAAATATACTATCCTACTACCGCGTAGCGGCTTTTCAACCCTAGTTTGATTTAATTGAAAACAATCATAAAACGGAAAATGCAAAGTAAACTAGCTAAAAACTTAGGAAAACGTACTCCCCGGGCAGCCAGATCTTCTTTTTCTTGTAGAACCAAATCGTGGCAAGGATATAGCCCAGGAAGACGAAGCCGAGGATGATGCCGGCGATGACGAGACTCGACATTGCTCTAGAAAAAAATGGAAAATAAGGGTCACAAGGATAGAAACGTACCGATAATCTGCGGGATTGGAATTCACAGAGCCACCGTAGCCGGGGATGCCACAGGAGACGCCTAAAAAATCCAGATTTCTTGCTTTGTGCAGACAATTTTTTTACCTTATAAACCCAGAACCTTACAACAAAGTATTTTACAAGTGTTTTTGATACAATTCAGCTCTATCTTCATGGCTCAACTCAGAGAAAACGCAGAAAAATGTTAAAGATTTCAATTTTGAGCGAAATTCGAGTCAGCCTTTTTGAGTCTACAAATCAATCGCTATTTTCATCTTTTAAGCAATTTTTACGTTTTGGAATAGCAGTAAAAAGAATACAAACACCTAGGAAAAAGTTGGAATCCCCCCATATTGCGAAAGAGCCTAGTTTTATTTATTAAAGCTGAAGATCCAATTTTAATAAAATTAAGATATTTTTTCTAAACCACACCTCCGTATCCGGGATCGCAATGGCAATTGCCAACGTTGTTGCACACGCCACGGTCATAGCAGTGGTCCAAGCAGTCCGTCACCGTCGACCGAATCGCCGTCAACTTTGTGCACTTTTTCGAGAGGCACACCTGAAAACGGGCGGGATTTGCATGTTTTATCTTTGTTGTGAGCTAGCGCTCATGAAAAATATTATTGCAAAAAATTCGTACCTTTTCCTTGCCACAAACCGCGCCGTCCTTGACGATCCCCAGCTCTTTATCCTGGTCACGGAGCGTCGAGTCGACCATCTGGAGGAATAAGGTTAGTTTGAGCGTCATTAGCAGTTTTTGAATCGTAACTATAAAAGTCTTTTTACAAGCGAAAGTCTTTGAAAAACGTTGGATTCCATCGTTTTTAGTGGCTTTCCAAGCGCAAAAACGCACAAAGTTTATTTTATAATTTGACAACTTTACCATTTTTATTTACAACCAAAAATACTGCTTCGAGTGCCTTTTTGAAGATTTTAAACCCAAAAGCGTGTGAACGTTTGACAAACTAAAAACCGGTAAAACACATTTTACACGGTGTCTTAAAGCGCGCACGGGGGTAGGGACGGGCATGGCCTAGTGGTCTAAGGCGGCGGCAGGCGCGAGGTGCTGGTTCGATTCCTCCCCTCGCCTAAAGACGCGACACCGCTTTGCTTTTTTTGCAAAACGTTTCTGCAAAGCACCGTCAATAAATCTTTAGCGAATTCCACGTAGAAAATTGGGCAGATGGGACGGTCCCGAGCCCGTAACCAGAAACACTCTTGATTTTTGCTTCAAAACGCTTCAAGTCCTTATTTTTCCCGGCGATCGCCCGAATTTTTTGACCAAAATGTTCCCTAGAGTCTTCTCTATCGATCGCCAGGTGGAACATTTGTAATTCTTTCTCGAAAAAAGTTATCCTTTAGAAAGCTTTTTCTCATACATTTTGGGGCCAAAAAGGGGCGTGGCCTAGCCCAGTCCCTCCCGTCCCCTCGTGCGCGCTCCAAGTAAGGCCTAAGACGCCGTGTTTATTCTCCCTTTTTGATCGTTTTAGAAGCGTAAAAGCACGTCAGAGCTGTAGAGAAGTTCCTCACAAAATTTAGTAGACTTACCTTGCACGAAATCGTCTTCTTGCTCAACGTGTCGTAGATTTTCGTGTAGCTGTGCGAGAAGGAGATGGCATCGCTCAGGATCGGCTTCTGGTTCAGGTCGGCATTGCATTGTAGTCGCCCACATTGGACGTCCCTAAAAACTACCAGTAAAAAGGCTGTACTATTGCTGTCCTCATCAAAATCCAGAATCCAACTCACTCCTGCGGGCATTTGCTGTAGTTGCCGTAGCTGATCGTGCCGCAATTGCCCTGATAGCTGCCCGAGATGTTGTTGTCGTAGCAGTGCGCGTCGGCATCTTTGCTCTCCGGGCCCCAGATTGTCTGAAAAAATGTACTAGATACGTTCAAAGGTTTTCTGTTTTTCCTTTTAACAAAAGTCGTTACACGCTGCTTTCCAAAATTAAAACTCAAGCTCTTCCAAAAAAATTATTCGTTACAAAATTAAAACTAAGAAAAGATGTATTCGTTCCTCTGCATTTTATTTATTACGATCCATCACGCGGGCCTCCAAACTATTCGTCACAGAATCAAAAAAAGAGCTTCTCCCATTCTTCACATTTTAGAAGGCTCACTTTTCCAAAAATGGTGAAAATTTCCCCTTCACATAGTTACAAAATAAAATGAAACGCACAACTTTTCCCAATTCTTTTGTTCGGTTTAGGTGCCCTCACTTGGGCCTTTCCAAAATTGGTAAAAATTCTTATTGGGTGCCTGGCGGTGGCTCGGACATCTAAGGAAGGACGTTCAGGCAACACGGTCAGTTCAGTAGCGATGTGAACGATTGGATGGGTTATCGTCATAGCCAGCCAGGCACCATCACAGGCCGATGGTGAGGAGAGGGAAGAGGGTGGGGGGATAAGGAAACGAAGAGGACCAGATGGGGGGCGAGTGGGAAAGGGGCGGAGAGCATGGAAAGAGCGCACAGGGAGGCACCGAACAAGCCTGCCAGATAGCCGCTCACTTTTTCGAAAGCTTTCGACTACCAATATGAGTTGATAGCTATAATTTTGTGTTTTCCTTTTAGAAAAACGCCAAAGTTACTTTTTCTTGTTTTTAGCGCCTGGAGCCCCAGTTGACCCCCTTTCCTAGCCTTTTTTCTCCCAATTTCAGCGGTGTTGCTTTAATTTTGAATTTCTAAGTTTCTAGATTAACAAAAAAGGATTCTATATTTCTGGTTTTGCTTTTAGAACTCGATCCTGCGACGTTTTTGGGAGTTTTTCACGCCCTAGGACGCATTATTAGACCTTTCCATGCTTTTATGCACAGTAGTTCGGGCGTTTACTTTAATTTACTTTTCTAACTTTCAAAAATTGCTTCAAATGGCTGTCACTTTCAATTTTTGATGTCATAAACTAAATTCCGTATAGTTTTCTGAGTTTTTGACAAGCCAGAGGCCATTTTTCCAGCGTTTACTAGCTTTTCCCCTGCCAATTTCAGTTTCCTTATTTTGATTTGGTTTTTCTGACTTTCTAGATTAATAAAAATCGTTGCCGATTAGCCTTTTTATCCATTCCGCTCTCAGAAAAGCTCCAAATTAATTTCTGCCACGGTTTTTAACAACCCAGAGCCGATTTTGGGACTCTCTTAGCTTTTTCTGAAAAATTCCTCCCGTTCTACTTTAATTTAGGCTTTCCCAAACCTAGCTTCGTGACAAATTTCAGCTCGAAAAGATCAAAAACCCACTTCACACTGTAGATTCCTCGAGCCGCACTGTCCGTTGTAGCAGAAGGCCTGTAAAAGGTGCCATAGAGTAACTTTTTTCAGGATAGTTGCAAGTTTTAAGAGATCAACGTACTTCCGGATACCCCGGGCAGGTATGGCCGTCCTGGATGAAGAAATTGGCCGGGCACTCGTCGGTTTCGCCGTTGCAGTACTCGGGCAGATCGCAAATGTCGATTTTGTGACGGCAAACGGTTGAGCGGGGTTTCCTCTGCAAAAAAAAATCAGTTTTAGCGGAGAGCTGGGTTTATTTAACTAGTTTAATAGTTCGTTTTCTATTTTTTTTTCTAAATTCTAGCTCCGAAAATTACCTTGCAAGTAGCCAAATCACAGCACCCTCCAGCCGCACATTCCGCTGCCGGTCGTAATTGGCACGTTTTTCCGATGCAACAATCCGAGGGGCAAATCTAAACGAAATTTTAGTTTGAAAATGTGGATTTTCCTACCTCGGCCCCGCAATCGCATTCTTCGCCCGGGTCGACAACGCCATTTCCGCAGCGGTCTGAAAACGGGGATAGACAGCTATCAATTTTTTTAGCTTTATTAATATAAAGAAATTGGTCATTTCAACTCTTCAACCAAAGTTTCACTAGCTAGGAATTTGCCCTCTGAAAATGAAAATCGCCAGATTTAACTTTTTTAACCGTTGCTTTGTTTTAGCCAAGTGTTTAGTCAACTCTTTTGAAAACCACGTAAGCTTCACGTACTTGGGTCCGAAACCGTGACTCCGGGTTGATTGTGCAGGCAGAAATCGACACCTCGCTCTAGAGAGTTGAATAGCTGGCGAAGCGAGCACTCGGACCAGTAGGCTGGGTAGGAGTACCTAAAAAATGGAGGTAGACGTTGATAGAAATCTCTAAAGTTCTAGAAGATTTTGAAAATGCAAAAAGTAGAGGTTTTCAGACCGTAAAATTCTCCAGATTTCCTCTTTTAGAAAGTTTAGCAACGTTAGAATAAAGAAAGGCATGATTTTTGCGCCCATTTTTAAATGAGCTAAACGTCTAGTTAACCTTTAGAGAACTACCGCTTACCCAGCAGTCGGATGCATCAGACAGTGGTCATTCTTGCACTCGCACATGTTCTCGTCATCAATCGGGTCGTGGCCCATCCCAAAGTTGTGTCCCATCTCGTGGGCCACGGTCGCCGCGACAAGCGCAGCGTCTTCTTGGTGGTCCTGAAATTGTCAATTTATTAAGGACGTTTTAGGGCTTAATTGCTTACATCCACTTTTTTGCAAAGATATAAAAACCGACCACATCGACACCTCCAGAATAATCCAAGGAGCACATCGTTCCCTTGTAGGCCTTTCCGACGACCCCATCCTCGAAATGGATTCTCCTAAATTAAAATGTAGCTTAAGAATCGTATTCTATTGTTCTAAAAATCGAAAAGTATCAAAAATCAACGTCAACAAGTGCGCATTATCGTTCGGCTTCTCGGCCAACACCGATTTTCGATAGATCACAAACTTCTCCAGCGTTTTGTCGCCATTCTCGAGCACCTAAAGCGTTTATCTGAAGTTTCCGCCTATTTCTTACATCAACTTTGTCGGCGTCCGTCCAGATTTCCTGGTAGATCAGTCGGACGTCAATGCGGAGCGGGGAATACAGCTGGAAAAAGACATTTTGAAAAATTTGGACTTTCTACCGAGTTCACATGAAGTGCGATGGTTTTCAGACGGTCTGACGTCTTCTCCTTGTAGAAATCGTGCTGAAAAATAGTTGTAAATAAGCGATGGAGCAAGTTAAGGAATAAAAACCTTTAGACGCTTAGAAAACATATATCCCAGCGCGAAGCATATCTTCGAATTACGAAAAAGCTTTGAAAATTGTTAAAATTCCTCGAAAAGCTTCCCGAAAATCTGTATTCCGAAACTGAACTATGAATCCACACATTTCCCTCCCGCCGTCTATTTGATTCCAGGTCTATTGTACCCCAGCGCTGCGTGTCCGGTTCCGCGGGCACATAACCCCCTCTCCCAGACCACTTCCCGACCCAACCATAGCTCAGTTGGTAGAGCGGAGGACTGTAGAGTCAGCAGCTATCCTTAGGTCACTGGTTCGAATCCGGTTGGTTGGAATGTTTTTGCTTTTTTTCCCAAATTCGCAAGAAATCGCAAAAATCTCGCCGGAAACCCATTAGAAAGTGCAGTAATTCTTATTTTTCAAAAACTAAAGCAGTACACCGCTCCATATGCATCCAAACCAACCATAGATTTATCAGCAAACAGCGCCAACTCGACGTAACGTTGATTCCGGTCCAGGTATTTCTTGTAGTAGTCGGGCAGTCCGTTCTTCACTTTCACCGCTCGTTTTGGACGCGTGTGGAAATCTAGAGAATCAGTTTTTCACCCTCTTTCTTAGAAGGACAAACCGCAAGTGGCCCCATCACGCGGAACAATGAAAATTCGACCGTCGTGCTGTCGTAGAGTGTAGAATTGATCCCGGATTAGGAAAATTCCTATAAGAAAGAAGCTAGAATGCATTTATGGTATTTTTCGTACCGGAAATGGCATCATGACTGCAGGCGGCTAAAGAGCTTCGCCCCGCCGCGGAGAAGGCTTGTAGATGGCACCAGGCTTGGAATGATATGCGAGAGTTTGATGTCGTTAGGACGTCCCTGGAAAGTTTGGGCGTTTATTGTACACATTTTACGTTTTTTTCAGAACTTTCTAGCTTTTCTAGTAGCACGATTGTGGAAAATTCACTGACGAAAAAATGGGCGTCTATGCTATGTATTTTGAAAAGTTTTAGAAGCTGCTATCTCGCCTTGAAAAGCTGCAAAACCTGTAAGCGGAAAATTGGGCGTTCTTAGGCGCATTTTCTGAGTTTAAAACTGCTCTAGCAGCACCGAAAAATCCGCAAAACCCACTCGGCCGGGATGAAGCTGAACCGCTCGACCTCGCGCTGGTCTCCCCCATCAGCCACGACGATCACCAGCGGATTCGAGGCCGACGACGTGGCCACCTGGGCGACCAGAGAAATTGGCGAGAACTCGACGAGCTGGGTGGCATTGTTCGGACCGCTGCCGAGGGCGTGCAGCGTCGTATTACAGGCTCCTTCCGCCATTATACTACTGGCATCTGAACGGGATCATCGTCATAATAAATTACTAATAATAGAAAATAAATCAATCAATACAACAAGAATTTCGGGATAAGTACCCGCTAGCTAAAAAAAAACACGAAAAATCCATAAAACCGTTTATACATATAAAAAACAAACAGCAAGTATTCTCACGTAAGTACAAAACCCTGAAATATACAGCCAAAATCACAATTCTTCACACGCAATGGCGAGAGTTACACATTAGTAGCAGGAACACACCCGTGATATCACACATTGAAAATTCTAAAGTACAGATAATTGGACGGTGTAGAGGCTTGTGGCTAAAAAAGTAGCAAGTAGTAGAACACGTCGGGGAACCTAAAACAAATGCGGCACCCTTGCTGTTAGCGGCGTGGAATTTTGACAATAGAATTTCAGGCTGTTTGAAGGAAAAGAAAAAGTGAAAAGTAAAATATCGTGGCTTAACGCGAAAACAAATCCGCTAACAACAACGTGCCAAAATGCCGAAATTCGAGCCAGGCTAGGCTCTACCAAAATATGAACCTGGACAGGACGCGCTTGTGCAGTATGTAATAGATGGTGACCAGGTAGAAGCAGAGGGCGAGCAGGACGAGCACCTTGTCGGTCAGCTCACGCCGCTCGAATTTTGAGAGGAGCTTGTGGCCGGTTTGGATGTGGGTGGCCTGGTCGGTGAACTCGGTGCCGGCCCTGAAAATGGAGAATTTCAAAAATAGCTACCAAAGCCGGCGGGCTAAAACTACTAGAAAAAGCTAAAGGCATAGAGACGAAAGGGGCTTTATCGGTTCTTTCCCATTATCTTTTTCAAATCTCACTAGCGAAAGTGTTTCGAAGACGTTTCTCTTTTTCTCGACGTACAAACTTTACAAAAACTTTATTAAAAAGTACAAAACCATCGATTTTTCGACTATGATTTTGGCTAAACCGTTTTTCAAAGCGGTTTTCTCCCTAAGATAAAGGTAATAAACAAATTTTACTAACAACACTATCAAAACATTTATTATTACATTTATTATTATGTTTCTGGGCTTATAAGAAAAATTTGATTCCCTCCGCCAACGATAGTGCGAAAGAACCAAGCTTTAAAATTTTCAAAATCCATGGAAAAGCTAAAAGACAAAAACCAACCTTGATAAAAGTGATGACGACTCGACCAGACCAGCCATATGCTCCTCGGCAAAGTTGGCGCGCTCGCCCATCTTGGAGACGAGGCTGGACAGCCGTTCCGTTGCCCTAAGAACGAAAGATGCATATTGTAATTTCCAAAGTTACCGAGCCGCGTCCGCCTCCGACGACTTCATATCCGTCGTTCGATGCCGCAAGCCATCGCCAGAGCTGGGGGTGTCACGCGCGAAAAGCTGCTCCCGGGCGTCCTTCTCGAGCTGTTGCCGGACTTTTGTGGCGGCGAGGGCGAGCGCTGCAAAAGCAAATGGATAAAATTGGGTAAGAAACGGGATTTTTCAGGAATTACAAGCCCAAAACGATATTTTTTACAACCTTACGCCAAAATCCAAAATTTTAGTGCGTGAAGCTCAACATCATAAGCAAAAGCTGGAAAACCAACCATTCTTATTCCAATCCATCGAATTCCGGAACTCGACAATCAGCTGCTCAAAATGCTCGCCCTCCAGCACGATCTTGGCAATGGTCGGTTTCAACTTGACCAGCTCGTCAATCTGAAACCACAGAAATAATGCTTTATACGATTCCCACTTCACACCTTCATCTTCATCTCCTGCAGCTGACCGCGCAGGTCCCGTGTCGTCGAGTAGAGATCCTTGTCGGAGCGGCAATTCGTCGGCAACTCGTCGATTCGGCCCCGGATGGCCGTGTCCAGGTTGAGGATGTCGCGCTGCAGCCGCTCGACGGATGGTGGAGGGCCGGCCATCTGGAATCAATAGGTTAGAAAATTTGGCATCAAAATTTTGACAAAATGAAAAGGAAAACGAAATGCGTCAGAAAAATCGACGAATCCGGAAATCGAGATGTTTATATCGAGCCGGATGAAGTTCAAGGAGTTCAGAAGAAGTTAATTTTGAGGCGTTTTCTGCGTCGCTGCAAGCACCACTTTAATTTAGCAAGAAAAATTATAATAAAAAATGTGATTAGCGGCCAGGAATCGAATTTTTGGGAAGAAAAAGCTGGAAATCGCAGAGTTTCAAGAAATATATTAGAAACGATAGTTTGAAGCCTACAAAAACCATCTTCATCAGCTTCAGAAACAGGGAGGAAAGCCTGAAACGCACAAATAATTTCCTTGGGGGTCCAGAAATAGCGTGAATAGATCTCTCTAGCCTGAAAAGCCCGACCCGCCTATCCAAACCCGCCCAAAAACCGCAAAATCCAAACACAAGCAACACCGCCGACGGGGACAATAAAACGTCAATAAATCGGCACATGGACAGCCGAGAATCGCCGGGCGGCGGCGGCGCTTCGCCCAGCCGATTGCCGTCCGGGCGTGACGGGGTGTGACACTCGCCAAAAAGGGGGAGAGGCGGCCGGAGATTGAGAGAATGAAGAGACGCAGCCGGAAAATGGTCGACCGTTCTTCAGAAGCTGAAAAGTAGTGAGAGGAGCAGACAGACAAAACGAAAGTAGTCGCGCGATACACTCTCACAAACAAACGGAACTCCCAGACCGCGTAACTGGACTGGACGGGAAGGCCACGTGTTTTCGCGGCGGGCCAGCTGATCGTGTATTTGCTGAGTCAACTATAGGTCGATGAGGGAATGCATTCGGCGAAATGAGCCTCAATTCACGATTTCAGTGGCCTGGAAGTATTTTGAAAGGTTACAAAATTAGCTAAAGGTCTTACCTGAACATTTTTCGCTTAGAAATACCTTAAAAAATCTGGAAATACGACGCGGCTGGCTTTTTCTAACCTCTTTCTTATTATTTACTACAATAAGCCATTTCCGAGCAAAAAAGTGTTGTCCTCACAAAATGATGGTCAATTTGAACGCTCCTGGCCTTGAAAATAGATAAAAATCACGACAATGTGAAGCAAATTCGATATAAGTAAAAGTCACAAGACAAAAATTTTAACGCAATTGATCCGCTCTATTTTAAAATATACTCAAGCGTCTTCAAAATGAACGAAGTCGATCTTGTGAAGCCTAAAAAGCTCTCAAAAGCTCTAACAAATTAAAATAAAGCTTATTCGTCGTTGGTCAAAATAACGGCCAGTTGGGAAGCGCCACGGTGAGCTGAGCTGATAAATACCTGCCCGGAAACCCGATAAAAAGTGACTCATTCTACCCATCCCTATAAGAAAGACCAGACCAACTGTCATAGTATCTCACACTGACTCAGAGCCTTGCAAGGAAAAATAGGGCGCCGAAGCGTGGAAACTAAATCTTCCTTATCGGGAAATGCAAGCAAGATTAGGACAGTTTTTAGAGAAATTTTATAAAACATCTCAGATAGTCTAAAATCTGTCGCCAGACAAAAACGGAAGTAGAAAAATAACGATTTTCAGCCACGTGCTCTAACAAAAGTGCAATCATCGGGGCCAGATCGTCTGGCTCTGGCTAGGGAGGCGGAAATTTGAGAGGACGCAGACATAAAGCGTCGCTGCCCCCCGGCTACGACGAGCACTTCAGGTTTTTGCCGAGGCGTTTGGCAGGGCAAAGCAGGTGGCTGGGTGGTTTGGCTGCCAAGTTTTTGTGTCTAAAGACAAGCCATTTGCATGCCAGGGAGCTTAAAAATAACTTTGTTAAGGCCGGTAAGTCTAAAACCTAAAAATAGCATGCAATTCCCTGGGGTTATCTCTAAAGAACTAATATTTAAAAGTTGTTAAAAAGCTCTAGGCAGATCAATAACACTAGCCAACGGTCCCAACAGCCCACTGACCACCCAGGGTCACCCCTCCACCAGTCGTGAATTGCAAATTGAGTCGTTTCCCAGAGCCCGATTTCGTAATCCACTTTTCCGCCCTCCCAGCATGAGGCCAAGGCCGTCAAACAAGCCAAAATGAAGCGGGCATGGCGAGCGAGTAGCACGGCCGCTTGATCTTCTTTTCTTCATTGAAATTTATGGAGTTATAGGAAAAACCGCGTTTTTCGCGATAAAGCCCCCCACCCCCGATATTGCGCAAGTACCGAGAAAACAATAGCGTACCTCTAAAGCCCTTCAAAACCAAGTTACCGTAGCAATACACAAAAATACACAAATTTCCGCCGAGCTTCACCAACTATCTGAAGCTTCTTTTCTTGACTTCTCGTCACTTTTCTGATTCGATACCTAAAAACCCTGTATTCCAAGAGAAATACTGTTCGTGTCTCAACGATCGCAGTGTCGTTTGATAACGCTGTGTTTCGTACAAGCAATATAGATTGAACTGTTCTGTTTATAAGGCATTGATTACGTGTGGGCAATTCGACGACGACGCGGTGTGAAGGCCAATTCAAGGGGTAAGGCAGATTCTTAAAAGGCTAAAATCATCACATTCATAAAACGGGGTGGCCCGAAAATGGGCGGCTTGAGCCAAATAAATAGTATAATCATTAAAACGGGCAAAGAACTGGTGAGGGGGAATAGACGCTAGACATATCTTTGGCACGTTGACCGCAAGAAAAGTTTCCGGAGAGGGAGAGAGAGGTGAATTGTCGATTTTAAAGGGGGTTTGGATGGCTAAATCTGTAGATTTTCAGCTGTCCAGTCCCCCTTAAAAACGGCAAATATAAAATTCTTTGCATGAGAGCTGACAACCGGGATCGTGCAACGCACACAGAAAGAGCACAACGATACATACAGTGGAATGAGAGGGTAGAAAAGGGATGCTGATAGAAGGGTAGGCTTTTTAAAGGGCCAGAGAAGTCAAGTTTCATAGATGTTAAAACTTTTAAACCGCGTAAAAATGGACTTCTCTGGCCTATAAAAATTACCTTTCTATCAGCACACCCCTAAAAAGTGTAAGTAGACTTTGAGGAATACAGCCACGTGCAAGGGTAACGAGCATAGAAATTCGTCGACTAGGAAACGGGAGTGGAAAAGGAGACATTTCTTTAGAAATCGTACAAAAAAAGAACAAAGCACAGTATCAGTACCACTAGTACATGTGCGGCGGGAGCATCGACGCTGAGCTGATCGACCCGGCCGACATCGTGGACATGTTGGCGGACGAGGCGCTGCCGAGTGAGATGCCGTAGAACTGCTCCTGCGCCTCGAGCTCTTCTTGGAATTTTTGCTCGAGCTCCTGAAAAGGCGAAAATTAGATGAATTTTTCGTTCAGGGAAAAATTAGTCCGTTTCTTCACAAGCTGTTTTATACCCCCAAGTAATGTAACAGGGGGTGTATTCACAACTTCTAAGTCAAATTTTAGATTGGAAAACCCATAAAAACTACATTTTGAGGCAAAATTGGCACTTTTCGTCGAAAAAAATCTATCTTTCTATAAAATTTTATCAAATTTTCATATTTAAAAATAGTGCAAAATCCGATTTGCTGGTTGTGGACCATTTAATGACACGACAAAGAACGCACCATCTTCTTCGGCGCTAATTCTCGGTGCCACTGCTCGCGGGCCGCCGTGTATTTGCGCTCGTGCTCGGCCATTGTGGCGTGCTCACGCTCGAGCAGCAGCTTCCGGTTGTCATTTTGCACCTCCTCCAGCTCGCGCATCTGAAAAAGGTCGATTAAACTACGCGTTCAGACGCATCCAAAGCTTATGCCTTCAAAAACGAACCTCAGCCGCGTGTATCTCCTTCTTTTCCTGGATCTTGCGCGCGCTCTTCATGTCGTACTCCTTGCACGCGTTGTTCACCCGCTGCTTCTCGGCCTCTTCAAAGCGCCGCATCCGCTCCTGCAGCTCGGCCTGGGAGTCGGTCTAAAACCATAATTTTTACGACAATAAATTTAGCCAAAAACCGAATAAACGCAAATGAGGAAAAAGCATAGGTAGAGGCGGAACTAAATTCTCACCAATTCCAGCCCGAGGAATGTCTAAAAGGAGGATGTGAAAGTCATGAAATGTGCAAAAGTTGTATAAACTTCATTACAACGTATTTTAATGCAAAATAAGCTCTTCCTACCTGCAAATTTATCCGCAACGACTCCTTGAACATGAGCGTCCTCGTTTTGGCCTCATTTCGTAACCGCTTCGGCAGCTGCTTACGATCCATTTGTAATTCACTAAAAAATTCCAGATAAAACTGAAAAAAATGTGGCCCAATTACCGTATCATCTCCTCCTCGGCCATCTGGTGGATCCGCCCCATTTGGGCCATCTCCTTCTGCTGCCGGGCCAACATCTGGGTGCGCAGCAGGAAGAACTTGTCCTTGAACAGCTTCCGGTGAAGCACGTATCTAAAGCGATTTTTTGGATGCGAATGATCCCCACCAACCTTTCACTCATCACCCGCTCGTCCAGCTCCCATTCGGCACTCTCCCGGCCTCGCAACAGCATATGCCGTTGGAGTGTGAACTGGCGCTCGAGACTGGCAATCTTCTCCTTGTGCTTCTGCTGCATCCGGGACAGCGTGGCGTTGGCGTTCTGGAGGAGCTGATGGCCGAACTCTTGCTCCTTCATCTGGTGCTGCGCCTCGGTTTGACCCTTTCGTATCCGGAGTGCCTCCTTGCGCTGCGATTTGGGGACCATCTCGACCTCTTGCTTCACGATTTTCATCTCCTGCTTCAGCCTCTCGCGGAAGGCGTTCAGGTCTTTTTCCTGGAATCGACAAAATTAATAAACGCATTGTAGAGCAGTCAGCAAAAACAAAAAAGCCAAACGTTCCAAAGTTACCTGATCGTATTTCAACCGTTTCGAGGCCGTCTTCAGTTCCTCGTCCTGCATCCGCTCGGCCTCCTCGATCTCCTTCTTCTGCTTCCGGTTCAGGCTCTCAAGGTCTTGCTCGAATTGCCGTTGCACCGTCTAAAACATGAAATTCACACCAATCAGCCAAATTCAACGCACCAGCTTCTCCTGCTGCTGCTTCTTCTCCTGTTGCTCGTTGAGCGTGGCGCCCTGGCGCTCCAGTTCTTGCAGCTGGCGGGCCTCTTCGCGTTGAAGCCGCGTCAGCTCTTGCCGTTCTTGACGCCTAAAAGATCGTAGGTCGTCGACAAGAAATCAAGCCTTACTTGAGCTGTAGATTTTCCTGTCGTCCCATGACGTGATGGGTGGTGGCGGTGACCTCCATGCCGTCGACGTTGAACGTGCGCGTCTTCCGGGTCACCGTCTTTCGGTTCGGATTCTTCCGTCGCATCGCTGCTGGCTGGCTCGTGCCGTTGACGGCCTTGGTCGGCGCGAGGACGGCAGGTTCTTTAATTTCACTCTGAAAAGTGCTTAATTTTGCCTCAAACTTCCGTCAGCTTGTCTGGAGGTTATCTCATTAGCAGCAGAATTTTAAGGTACGATTGCTACGTCATTAGGTGCATAATGGCCTCTAAGTGACTGCACATCGAAAACGGCCCACCCAATCGCTACGCGGCGTTTAAACATTGGTTTTGTTTAATTCATTAAATATTTTTACTAGTATCAAAAATTTTAAGCGTACCGGTGGACTACCGCTTTGTTTTCTGACGGGCGTTTGAAAGGCTTGCGCAGCTGGCGGGGTTGGCTGTCGATTTTCTGAATTCCAAAAACTCGTAAAATTCAAAGGTTTTCAAAACCTTTGCTCTCATTGGCTCGTCGTTCACGATCATAGTCAACCGGCGGCTCTGGTGGCGGCAACGTGGACGACAGTTCCCGGCGATCCTCGGCGAACTAAAGTTATTGTTTTTTTTTTGTAACATTGGGTGAGTATTGCCCGCTAGGTCTAAAAAATGCGGCAATGAAAAGAATGAAGACAAAAAAAAAGATGAAAAAATTCTCTATTTTAGAGCGCTACCAAACCCACCACACAATCATCGAGATCGTCAAAAAGACGTGCTAACATTGCTTGCACCTGGGAAAGGGAAGTTAGGAAAAATTCGACGTTTGAAGTTATTTTAAAAAGATAATCTTAACGGGACGTCAAAACATTGGAATTTGACGGTTCTTTGGCATTATTGGGGGGCATCGATTTTTTTCGCTATCAAAATTTCAAATTGTCGCTTGCTATCAAAAAATTTGGCAAAAACTTAGTTGAAAATTGGCCATTTTTGGTCAACGAATCGATATGTTTCGTATTTTTAATAAAAATTTGTCAAGTTTCCGCGTTTAGGAAACAGCAGGAAACAAAATAGTTCCTTGAAAAAAGTTGGTCTTCTCCCGATAATTCGAAAGAATAACTTTTAAAAAGATAATTTCAAAGGGTACGTCAAAACCTTTAGAATTTGCAATTTTTTAAATCCCTTACATAATCATCATCGTCGTATCGTCGATCTTGCGCAGTGGAGGGCTGTGGCTCGAAGCTGGGTGAAGGGCGCGGATCCGAGTGCCGGGAAGTGAGAGAGACCGACGGGCTTGGCTCCTTGCTCCGCAGCTCGCCGTTTGACGCAACGGGAGTCGTTTTTCTAAATAGAAAATGAAATCAACCTCGAAAATACGATACCTTGATGGCATAATAACTGCCGGCTCGGCCTTGGCGTGCTCGAAGCTCTCCGCCATCTTCGAAACGGCCGGCTGTGCTTGGAAGAGCAGAGAGTCCGCCTCGCGCCGCTCCGACTTGATCCGCTCGGCGCTCTGGCCGGATTCTTGGGCCTGCTGCTCGCGGATGACCTGCTTGATCTTGCTCTGCACGTGTCCCTCGGGCATTGTGACCGTCGCGTGGCTGGTGGTCGGCTCGCTGCTGGATTTTTCGAAGTGGAACCTGAAAATTTTTGAAAAATTGGTTAAAAATCTCACTTCAAATCCTCCACCGCCGATTGCCGTTTTTTCTCGTCTTCGTCTTGGACATCCATCCGCACGCGGATAATGTTCGAGAAGGTCTTGTGCACGGATTGAGCAGATTCAGACTGAAACGAAAGGTATAATTTTAATTTTGATTCGACCGGTTAGTTTTCTACTTCACTTTCTATTTTTTTAAAGTTATGCTCGAAAGAGAAGTTGACGGCATGATTCTATCTTTCAAACAACTAGTATTTGCTCGCAGACGCCGCCTTTTAGACCGGTAACTAAATACCCGATCAAACCAGATAAGTTATAACGAAAGGAGAATGGATACCTTGGCCAGTTCCCTGCCAGTGTTGACGCTTTCGGCCGAGTGTCGATGTGGAGAGTCGTCGCTGTGGGCCGAACGCGTGCTCCGGGGTGAAAGTTCGGAGGGGGTCGGGACCGAGTGCCGGGCATTGTCGACCACTAAAAAAACGGTTGCTTATGTGGGGTCTATTATCAGGCGAGCGGCACGCGTCTCGTCGATTTCGACAAGGTCACCGTAGCCCACTCGGCACGTTTCAAAATCTCCAAGCGTTTTAGAAACTTACCAGACTTAATTATCCTCGTTGGCTCGGGCGAGTGGACGATGTGCGTCTCTTCGGCGCGACCCTCGCGTACTTTTGCCGGGGGCATTAGCCGAGGTGAGGGGGGCTGGGGACGCGGTGTTCGATCTGAAAAAGACGTCATTTCACGAGCACCGTTTCGAAAACCGGAAAATTCAGCTCTACGCACCATTATCAAACGCCGGCTCGTCGCTGGTGTCATTATCGAGGGCCGTGTTCAACTCCTCGAGCACGTTGTACGCCTCCTGGCGTGGGCTGAGCAGCGCAGGTTCAACTAAAAACCAATATACCTATTTCAAAAATCGAATTCTTACCGTGCCCGTTGACCTTCACCGGCGTCTGCGGAGGCTGTTGGTATTTGGGCGGTGGTGGGGCCGGATACTTCTCGTTTTCCGCAGCCTTCGGCGTGAGCCGGGTCCTGAAAAAAGATAATAAAATCCGGTCTTCAATATCTTCGTTAGAAGCCTGGCCATGTGTCAAGAGCGAGCAGTAAACAAGCAGGGGACAAGCATACACTCGCACACGGCCTTAAAAGGACTGTGAAGGCAAGAAAAGATAGCTCTAGGCTAAATTTCACAGTCCCTTTCTAGCCCACGTACAGTTCTTGTGTCGTGATGGACAGTTGAATAGAGGCGAATAGTGGGCGTGAAATGGTTTTCGTGGTGAATCCGGTATCAGCATCTTTTCGAATTTCCAACCGGAAATCAGAGCTGTCTTCGGAAAGTGCTTCGGATTTTTCATTTCTGAGCTCCGTTTCGCCAAGGTTTTCCGTAGGTTCTTCATTAAAATTTTCGTTCGAATCGTTTGTTTTCAGGGGCGAATGCTCGCGCTCAACCGGAAGTTGCTGACGAGCAGCGGCAGCTTCTTGAATAAGAATAGCAGCCCGGGTCAAGCAGGGATCGGCGGCGACGAATGAAGCCCCGGACTCCTCATCGCGGCAAATAAACTCTTGCGAAAGTTCGGTTTCGGCGGGTGAGGCTGGGGCACAAGGGTCGGTGGACAGTTCCGAAATAGAGACATCCAAAGTGTCATCCTCGACTCTACAACAGAAAGAATAGACACGTAAACGAAGGAGAGCGTTTTTGGGCGGAGACGTGTGCCGGTCTGTATGCGTAAAACGCGCGTTTGTACCTGTAAAACTTACCTTTAACTCGAAAGAGAATTACGAACGAAAGATATAACGAGATCAAGGATCGCCGCTGAAAAAACACCGACCCTTCACCCCGTCGGCACCCAAGGAAGCCATTGACAATTGGTTAGCGTTAAAAACTGTATTTCTCTGTACAGAACCGGGGGCTGAAACCAGGCAACAACATACAAGACATTAACGAGTAGAACGGACTAGTAAATGCCTAACATAAAAAAAGAGGGAAACGAAAATACGGCGTGCACGGCAAGAAGAAACTCAAAGGAATAGACGGAATAGGTGGCGCTTTAGAAAAAGACTGTACCGTTCGCTGGGCGGTGATGGGGCGCTGAAAAAAAAAACACGTTATTTTGAGAAAAGTGAATTCGGGATACCGATGTTTGGAGGGTAGACGGTTGGCCTGGGGTGGTAGAGGGGCTGGTTGTTGTTTTGTTGAAGCGGCCGAGATGTTGGTGTCGTTCCAGACAGCGGAGTTCTGTTCTTCTGAAAAAAATGCATTTTGTTGACCCCGATTTTAGCAAAAACTTCCGCTCTGGGCTATTCGCGGGGTCGGAAAGTAACGTTTTCTTATTCATCACTTTTACGCAGTTTTATAGCTGCTTTCAAGGTCTCAAATCCCCTAATCGTTAAAATATGGCCTTTGCGAGAAGAAATAAAGTTCGTTCCCGTCCCCACCAACATTCCAGAAGCGCAACTTCATTTCAAGCGAACGATGTCAACTCAAAAAACGAACCAGTATCCTCCGATTCCGGAATGCTCTCGTCAACGCTCGCCCGATCGTCCTCCTCCATCACCTCGACTTCCTTGACCTCGGCCTTGGCTTCAGCGAGCAGCGCCAGTACGGAGCGACGGTCGTTGCCCGATTTTAGGAATGGGTGCTAAAAGAAAAATGTGAATCGTAGAAAGCGTCATCCTACATTTTGAAGCTGCTCGGCAGCCTTCCGGGCTCGCGGGTCTTTGACGAGGCATTCCTTCAGGAAATCGTTGAAGTAGATGCTCCAGCTGCTCGGCTTGTTCAGCGTGGGCGGGGGGTTCTTTTGGACCTTGATGAGGACGCGCATTGGTGAGACCTAGAAAATTGGCGTAGAAAGGGGCGCTCACAAAATTTCTGACCTCACTATGCGGCGGCTCCATCTGGGCCATCTCGATGAGGGTGATGCCGAAGGACCAGATGTCCGAGCGGCAGTCGTAGGGTTGGTCCTTGAACGTCTCACACGTCATCACCTCGGGCGCCATCCTAAGGGACGAAATTCGACGGTAAATTGAAAACCTACCAATATGGAGTGCCGATAAATGTGTCGCGCTTCTCGTTTTTGTCCTTCAACTTTGCCGACACGCCAAAGTCCGCTGGAATTTGGTTTTGAAAAAGCATGGCTAATAAACTCCTACCCAGCTTGACGATGCCATCATTAGTTAGCAAGATATTGCCGGCCTTCAGGTCGCGATGGATAATGTTACATTGGTGTAAGTAGCGAATGGCATCGCAAGTGTACCTAAAAAAGCATGAAAACTTCACACAAAAAGGTTACCTTGCAATATAGGCGATTTGTGGTTCGGTAAGTGGGCGTTCTAGTTCCAGCATAATATCATCGACGGCACCCCCGCCGCATAGTTCAAGCATCATCTGAAGAAAAACAATAAATAGAAAAAGTACACTTACATGTAATCTTTCTGCATAGTAATAACAAGCGAAGAGGGTGACGATGTTCTCATGCCGGCACGCCTGCAGGATCTCGATTTCGACGAGAAAATCCTCCAACTCTTCCCCTTCTTGCACCTCGATGCACTAAAACAAAAAGTAGAGCGTTAGTATCCCAAAAAAATATAAATACCTTTTCGGCCGCCTGGAGATTCGGGTCATTTCGGCTGACCACCCGTTCGACTTTGCCAAAGGCGCCGTCACCGAGCTCGCCGATAATGTCCCATAGCTCGCGCGGGTTGGCGTTGTACTAAAGAAAAAAATAAAGACAGAACAATTGGCGTTTACCTGGACTATAGAGGGCAAGGGGGTCCTCACGTCGACCGCTGGGCCACCCTTGAAGAGGTTTTTGAACTTGCCAAAAATGCTCATCTGGCAAGCAACATGAAGCCGTACCTGGAAAGTGGAGATTAGCTTTGAAAAACAGATACTTTTTGAGGTAAAGAATGGAAGGCCGTGATTCAGAAGGCAGGAATTTGCCGAAAAGAAGAAGCCGAGCCGTTGCTAAGCAAGCACAAACCGACAAAATATTGCAAATTATCGGAAAAAAGCTATTAATTACTGCAAATGCCAAAAACTAGATGGAGAAAATAGCTTTTCCCGTGCCAGACAAGACTAAATTGAGTTTCCAAGGCGTCATAAATTCTCCGCCGCGAAAATATTATGGCCAGCACCCCCAAAATCAATAGGCAAAACGGTCATCGTCCCATGGGGTGAGAATTGACCATGGATGGAGGGCCGGGCCCGCATTGACATGAGTCACTTGATGTGACGGCGACCCTCGTCGGCTTCAAGTGCCATTCTACAGCGTCGCACCGTGGCTACGATGACAAATTCGGGCAAAACACTGCTGGGAAAGCGGTTGTTGATGAGCGCGAGAGTTGTCGAGTACTCGACGTGGAGAATATGCAAAAGGCAAGGAGAAGGAGCTTGTTTCGCCATAACCATTGTCTATCTAAGGATAGCCAGCACTTTGAAAGGAAAAGAAAAGACCTTGGAAAGCACGCGGCTTCAAAGCTTGAAACAAGACGCGCTGACTTTGCCAGAGGTTTTCAAACATCGATAAGTCCGAGAAAAACCGCACCCCAAACCCAGAAACAGCGATAAGTCGGCTTCGGTTTCCGGAGATGAATCGATGGGCTGCGGGCCAGCCCCGAATTATGACTATTGCTGCTGAGGAAGTGATAAGATCTGGCGGCAGAATGGTAAAGGCTCGCGACCGGGATGACCTCGATCCGCCGCTAGATGCAACTCCCCCAATTCCGCTTGGCCGTTATCGAGAAGTCATAAACAGTTTTTGCAAGGCACTGACCATAAATTTGCGCACGCGAGGGATGCGAAAAAGAGTATTGGATCTGTTGACGGCGAGCTTTGACCTCCATTAGCGAGGGGCAACCTAGAGAATTCGGAAGTGAGAAGTGCGCGGATCGAATTACATCCCGAGAGGGTATTGATATCTCGTAAAGTCAAGCCGCCCCTAAAATAACAGGTCTCAAGTGTGGCGCTTGGGAAGCAACGGTTCCAATTTCCCGGCTCTGGAAAATAGTCATTCGTAGGGGGAGAAGCCTTTTGAAAGGGCGGACGATGGAGGAATGGGATGGGGGGAAGCCCGCAAGCGCAGAATACTTGTTCGGTGGTTTTGGTAATTCCAGCGCCGAGAAGCCATCGCCGCCGGCATGACAAGGGGGGATGGTGGAAGTTTTGCATAAAAATGAGGGGTAGGTGGGAACAGGAAAATCGGCCATAAACGTGAGTGTGGTGGAAATGACGGTGGCAAAAGCATGGAAGTAAATTGAATAATTATTACTAGTTTAATTGGATCGGAAACTTGATTAAATTAAAAAATCTTGTCAAAAAGTTTGGGGAAAAAATCGAAAGTCGAAGATCGCCAGCTCCAAAGCACACCAAATAACGGTATACGTACGGTGGCGCAAGGTGTGGCACCGAAAATTACAGGGTGGTCCAAAAAAAAAAGTGAAGTTTGCACTGAAATATCTCCTGAACGGAAACGAATCGGACCATCGTTACCTTGCCAGAATGCTTAAATATGCTGGGCATGAAGAAATAACACAAGTTGTTTTTTAAGATTTTTGACGACCAGTGGGTCGTTAAAAAGTTTTGAACATTTTTAAAAAAGTAGAAAACTTTGAAGCGATAAAGTATGGAACTTTTTATGAGTTAGAGGGATTTCAAGGGTATCAAAATGAAGATCTTGGAATGCGCTATCAAACGCGTGGTAAAGAATTTCGATCGGTTTAACTAGCCGTCAATAGGAGCGTTCGGAAAATCCGTACTTTCCGGAATGGGCGCCTCCGAATTGACCATAAAAAGCAGCTTGCTGCCCAAATTTTTTGTACGTATTACATACAATCCTGTTTGCCAAAGATAACCATGCTATAATTTTAACTAAAGGAGGAGGAGGAACTTACAAATTCGGTCGAATTGGCAAAGTGCCAAAAAATTTTTTGAACGCGATTTGAAAAATTTTGATGCCAAAAGTTAGTAGGTATATATCTATTGCTAATTGCAAAATATCAGAAAGATCGGATGGTAAAGTAATTTTATCTGGAATTATTTCCCCAAAAAGTACGGATTTTCCGAACGCTCCTATTGACGGCTAGTTAAACCGATCGAAATTCTTTACCACGCGTTTGATAGCGCATTCCAAGATCTTCATTTTGATACCCTTGAAATCCCTCTAACTCATAAAAAGTTCCATACTTTATCGCTTCAAAGTTTTCTACTTTTTTAAAAATGTTCAAAACTTTTTAACGACCCACTGGTCGTCAAAAATCTTAAAAAACAACTTGTGTTATTTCTTCATGCCCAGCATATTTAAGCATTCTGGCAAGGTAACGATGGTCCGATTCGTTTCCGTTCGCGAGATATTTCAGTGCAAACTTCACTTTTTTTTTTTGGACCACCCTGTATTTTTTCGGGAAGAATAAAATTTCAAAGCGACTAAAAAAAGTAAGGGAGCCCTATTTTTCTGGATAAATTTATTATTATTGTTCTTTAGAACCTTAGTTATCGAAAAAAGCGAAATTCGGAGACCGCCAGCTACCAAGCACACTAAAAGACGTTATTCGTACGTTAGTGTAAAGTGTAGTATCGGAGAAATTTTTTTCTTTGAAAACCACAAAATTTGAAAGATAATATAGTCATTTTTTAATTTCTTATTATTGTTAGTTTAGAATCTTAGGTATCTGCAGCGACAACAAGTGAAAACCGGGGGGAACCCCTGCAGAAGGCGCGCCAGGGCTTGTCCCCCGCCCAGTTGTTGGTGCATGCGAGAAGCGTGACGATGGACCAATGCAGCGTTGTGTGTGTGCCGGTTATGACCGGGAGGAGGTCCACCCACCCAGCCCTGGGCGGCCTGTTTGGCCAACTTCTGCGCCGAATCGGGGGTCCCCCAGGGATGCGAAGCGGTTTATGCGAGCATGCAACCCCCGCAAATATTTACCGCCGGATCCGTGAATCGAACGACTTTTGGGTATTTTGAAAATGGCTAGCTTTGGGGGGGCGTTAAGCTGGTTGAATCAGGGGGGGTTGATACGCTTGTTGTGGTGTTTTCTAGGGGAAATTGTGGCTAAGGTTGTCAGGTCAAGATTTCTGACTCGCTACGTTTTGATAGTAGTCGTCGGGAAATCTTGGAATCGAATCTCGAAAACGCCGAAACTCCGGCAAATCCGATAGGCGTGAATCGAAAGAATTCGAATTTTCGCAAGTTTTTGAACATTTTCAACGACCTGTTGGGTTTTGTAGGAATTTTTAGTGGTAAAACCAAGCCTAAAACTTGTGCAGAATTTTGCGCTGATTGCGAAAGTTTTTCAGGATCAGCCGAACGTCCCGATTAAAGCAGTTATAATGGCGATTTTTAGTACGAAAAATGCGAAAACTTCTCCAAACTAGGCCATTTTGAGCCCTTTGCGCACTAAAAGGCGTCAGAATCTCTGTAATCCGGTCGTTTCGTAGATTCTGAAAACAGATCGGGTTAAAAAATCTGCACCAGACGGGCTTGGTTTTTTGTGGAGGTCACTAAAAACCGTCTCCTGGTAATCTCGCTGGTGCGCTTTCCCTGGCAAATTGCCGAGAATATCCATCCTGAAAAAACGCCGGAAACTGGTTAACCATGCGCCGGCAAAGCCAGTTGGCAACAGATGGCAGGTTAGGGCGAAAGTTGAGGAGGAAGAGGCCGAGAAAGTGGTGGTGAGCATGTTATTTGTCACCGGCGAGACAAGGGCCGCCAAAAAAAAGTGAATCAGGCTGAGCGGCCGGTCGGCAAGGGGGGCGAGCCATGGCCAGCGTTGTGCTCCGGCGGCAAAAGTGCCAATTTCGCAAGGATCAAGACGATGGATGGGAAAATGTGGGGGCATGCGTGTGCCGCGAGGAATATTGGGGCGCGTTTATCGAAACTCCAGCTCGTTTTTGAGGGGCTAGGTGCCAATTATTAGATTGAGACTTGGGCTTGTAAAGTGCCAAAGGTATGATTGTCCGATCGTTGAATCAGCAAGCACTTTGTGGTGGAGAAGCTGACGTCTCGCGGGGGGTTATCTACGCTGATTTTTCACATTCCTTTTGTCCGGAGCGTGACGCATTGTTCGCCAAGTTTTCGGGGGGTGTCCATACAAGAGTTGAAGTGGTATGCAAAAAAATGAATGTGAAGGGTTCATAGAAATTTGGTAGCAGAGAATTTTCGCTGTTCGGCGGAAGTTGAAAACAGCTAAATTTAGCGGATAATGATTTAGCATAGTACCGAAATTCGAATTTTTAGGAGGAGATCCGGTCAAGCCGCGAAATTCCCATTTCACCGCTCAAATTTTAACGGTCGAGACGCCACATCGGGTAGAAAAATTGCGGTTAGATACATTTAAGCTACCACAACCAGTATTTCAAAGTTTAGCAAAAGGCAAAACCTTAGCCAATGAGAGCGTAATGGAGCTGAATTGAAGTTTTGCGTTTTAAAAGGCTCGAAAATGGTGACTTCGTGGAATTCGAGGCTTCAAGCTTCAAATTTTAATAGGAGGCAGAAGTCTTCTCTAGAATTAGAAACGAAATTGCGTTTTATACCTCGAAGCGACCAACTTTTTAGCTATAGAAAAACCGGAAGCCCCCACCCAAAACTCGGAAATACACCAAATTGATCTAAAAGTTGCAGTTAGATACCTTTAAACCACTATCAAGATTTTCCTGATTCGCAGCTATTAAAAGCCGTGAACTTAAGCTCATAACAACTCGCTCTAATTCAAATTTTGAGCCGGGTTAAAATCCGGAATCCGGTGCTATTGCGCTAGAATTAGAACAAAATTACGTCTTGTACCTTTAAGCTATCACTTTTTTAGCTCTATAAAAAACCGGAAACCTCCACCCAAAATCAGCAATCTGGCACTAACCGCCGAAATGCGCCAAATTGACCTAAAAGGGTCGGGGGGTTTCCCCCGGGGCCGGCGAATGTCAAGGAGGGGGGCCAGGTGCTGGTGGTGGTCAGCCGGCCGGGGGTGAGGCTCAAAAAAAAAGCGAAGGAATAAGATGAAAGGTGAGGGAGCACGAGAGGCGGGGAGGGGGAGAGAAAACGAGGATGAACCTATCAGGCCTGCGGTGAACGCCCCTCTCACATAAGAGAGATAGAGGGAGTACAGAGACTGCGCGACGCGCCCGCCGCGCGCCCTCCAGGGGGTTCGGACCGTGTGCGGAGGGTGGGAGAGTGAGAGAGCGACAGTGAGAGAGAGAGAGAGAGCGAGAGAGAGAGAAACAGAGAGGACTGTTCGGGAGACATACCCCCGGGCTATGTCTATGGGAGGGAATGGTCATTGCGAACGGACGGGGTGGAAGGAGTAGCCGCGCGGAATCGCTGAATTGAATAGAAGGCGAGACTCTTGGGAGCGCGCGCGCCCCTTACTAGCTGAACCCCATTCAAAAGGTCTGCTTTTTTGTAGGGAATGCGCGAGACGGGTCAGGCCATTAATATTGCGATTTTACGCGTAAAATGGACGTAGAAATGCGGAGTATTTTTCTGAAGCTTAAGTTGAGAAATTCTAGAAATTAGTTGAAGACTCATGAAATTTGGTAATCGACTCTTTTAGAGGGTTACGTTCGGCCATTAAAATTACTATTTTATGCTTGAATTATCACATGAAACATTTTGTGATTTTTATGACGCTCGTAAAGGCTAACATCTATGATTTTTATGACGTTTTGTATCCGGCACCAGGGTATACCGGTAAGCGATTTTTCAGAATATTTGGAGCTGGAAACTAGCGAACCCGCAGGGTTTGCGCCCAATTTTAACAGTTGTGACAGATAAATAGCTGATTTACTATAACGTACGTTTCATCCCGTTAAATTACTAAATACGCGTGGGTACACAGACGAATCATGTGCGAATTGGAAGCTGTCATTAGGCGTCTCCCCATTCCACGACATTCCTGCGAACACCCATCAACACGCGACAACTTTTTACAACTCAAACATGACCGCTGCCTCTCAACGCGCTCTACAGCTGCCGTTTTTGCAAAAGTCCACTACATTCCGACTAGGCGGTCGGCGACGACGTTATGCGGCTGCGGTCAGTTTTTTTACTATGAAAAGCTGAAGATTGAAGCGCAAAAATTGGCGCTTAAAAAATTAGCAGAGGTGGATTCCGTGGGGTTACTGGGGGCGGTGAGGCTGGCGGGCCAGGTGGCTCAATCAAACAGCTGTGTTTTTGGGTGGCAAAAAGCCGGGGGCATGACTCATTTTTGAAGATGGTGAAAGTGCGGAGGGTTTCGGGTTAATTTTTGTGGGTTTTAGGGGGCGTGAAACGGAATTAGATACGTTCCGATTAGAAAAGGAAATTTCTTAAACTGTAAGTAGTTAGTTACCGTGTCAAAGGGTTTCTAGGCGTCCTGCAAACCTAGAAATCGAAGAATTTGGACGTTATTCATCGAATTGAGGGGGGTATTTAACGCTCGCCCTCGCTTTCCGAACTGTTGCGGAGACATAAAGCGACATTTTAGAAGTTGTTAAAGACAAAACGAAGGTTTATAAAACGTTAAGTGTTCTCTCAACTTACCAAGAGATTTCTAAGCTTTTTATCAACTTGAAAATAGAAGAAATTCCATACGGATCATAAAAATGTCCCTTTTAGATTACCTAAGTGCCCAGCACGGTTTAGGTCAGCGCGATAAATTACGCGTAATTTAGGGTTTAGCGGGTCGTTCCTAATAACAGTCGGCCTAAGCTCTGGCTGGTTGGCTAAAGGGCTTCATCATCCCGCGTATGCTATTAGTGAGCACCTGGACGAGGGGCCACAGTGGCCATAAACTGGCGGTGGTCACCATGGTGGTTGGCATGGGATGCTTGGGGTCAGCGGCACACGCCATTTCCCTTGACCCCCCTCACTGCACCATCCCTCCCTGTATGTCTGTCCGTTTTGGTGTGTCTCTGTCACATGTCCTTAGCATTGCTTGCTGCCATTAGCCTAGGTTAATCGTTTTTCATACTAACGTTTTTTCATACTGTCGTTTTTCATACTAACAAAATTTGGCTTGGGCAGTTTTCGAACCTTTGGAGCTACTATTAGTGCGCAGATGGTCGTATTTTCGTCGGAAAAGAGCGGCCTCGTAGTGTTTCGTTTTTACCCAACTTTCCCTTTGCTGTTCGGCACGGATCCCGTCAATTTCTCGATTTTCCATTTTTCTAAATTTCTGCGTTCCCCTGCCCCAAATTTCCTCCTTTTGCAGGTGTGTGCCCCGGGAGGGATAATCTGGTGGCCGAATCGTCTACATCCGAAGGGCCAAATGGCCCCTGCAACGGAGCCTTCAGATGAGGAGAGGCAGCCATGCGGAACAACAACCTCTTCGCACAACGCACCCCGGACTCAGTATGTTTTATTTTGCTTTTTTCTGCAGGTAGCGGCTTTCTTGGGCACCAGTTTCGCCCGGTGAACTGGAAATGTCACATTTATAACAGGGGTGAAAACGCACGTTTTTGAACTACTTGGTTTTGCGGATACTTTGCTGGTTTTTGCTAATTTTAGTTCCACGGGGCGAGTTTCACAAAAATTTATCTTTTTCTAGCGCGTAGACGAGTTTTGTTTAACTGTTTAGTTTTCGAAGATGTCTTCAAGATTTTGCGCTGAGTTTTAGCTTTCTCGCGATTTCCCCGAAAAGAAGTTGCTTTTTTAATAATTAGTTTTTTTTCAGCGAGCCCGACGAGTCGAGCTCCGCCAACGAGCTCAGCGCCGCCACCGAGGACAAGGAAAATTTTGTGGCGTGTTCCGAGGTTAGCTATCAAACTTTCATTATATTGTTTTTAGTGCATTTGCGGCTGTCGGATTTGCAACGCTCGTGTGGACGCTTTTCGGGCGGAAAACGGGCGTTTGATGCGGCAATTGGAGACGCTGAAGGAGAAGATTCGAGCGCTGGAGGGTTCTTCTGATGATACGACTAGGTGCGGATGCCTCCTTCCGTTTCAAATTTTATTAAATTGGCATTTTGAACAGCTTCTTTTGAATTTGAATTTGAAAAAGAATTTGAAGGCACTATTCTTTACAGTTCCCCATCCGTCACGCGGCGCCCACCAACCCCAGTCGGCAAGGTGACGCCGATTTCAAGGAAGAACCGGAAGTAAGCTTTTTTTAATTGCCATAACATCTACCCTTTTTTCTAGGCCAAGTACGTCCACCGACACCTCTCAACACACGACGATCAGCACCTCGGCGTCCAGGGAAATTTGGAGCGAGGTTTGAACGCTTTTTGGAGGTTGAAACCATTTTCAGGATGCTGCTCCTCGCCAACGCTCGAACACCTTCAACCGGAACGCCGAGTTACACCTACCACAAATTGTCAACCAGCCGCCGCTTCAAGTTTCGCCGATTGCCAGGCCGATTCCGGTAAGGTTTTATTTTATCTTCCCTAGTTCCTATTGCTTCTTTATTGCTTGGTTTTTTGCTGGTTTTGGAACGTTAAGTCATTGTTATAAAAGCATTTATAAGGACGAAATTTTCATTAATTTGTGCGGATTTTGGGCCTTTTTCACAGTTTCTGACTTTCCCGCCAGTTTCAAATTTACGAGATTTTTGAACGTTTTTAATTAGTTTTAAAAATGTGGTTCCCCAGTAGCGGTCCATCCTACTTTCCACGACAATTTTACCTAAATCCGTATTTTCAGAGAAATGCCCGCTCACGCACGCCACCTCGCCATGACCGAACCCCTGTGATGCCGTCAAGATCGCCAATCCGGCTTCCCCCCGGCTCGAGGCCTTTTGCCTCGTCGATGAATCGGTTGCCGATGATTGGCCAGCCCGAGCATTCCAGGACCCCGGAACGAAGAGCGGTGTGTTTTATGCTTAAGTTTATTTTCCAACGCAAAAATGCTTTCAGCCATCCCTTCGATCTCGTCACGCTTCACCAAATCGCACGTTCATCATTGCGCCGGCTAGAAGGGCGGATAGAGGTATCATTATAAATCCTACGATTCAAACCAGCCTGCTGCCAAAAGATGTACTGGCAGATTTACAGATTGATCAAAATCCCGTTTTTTTAGATGGTGCCCCGTTCACCGTGCCCGCAAATCGACGCAGGGTCGGTTTTTTACATTTTTCGCTTTTTCGTTGTTGACAGTTTTATTAATTTGTTAAAAACACCTTGATTTTAGCCGCCGCTACGCCCTTCCGCCGATCAGAGCACGTCGAGCACCGACGAGCAGATCATCATTGAAAGGATGGGTATGAAAATGGCATTAATTTTTGAGTATTTTTTGTTTTTAGGTTCTCCAACGCTAGGCGGGACTGGGATGACGCTTATGGTGAATTTTTTCACGTATCATTTTTTTAATTGGAGCGAAACAAAATTATAGTCTTTTTAGCAACGCCTGATGTCTCGAAAGCCGGAGTTTGTGCGTCACCTGGAGGAGCGGCAAGACCGGATCAAGCATGCGTCCCTTTTGCGCAAGACGATTCATCAGCGGAAATTGCATGTGTGCTTTTATCAAAATTAAGCTGTAGATTTTGTAATTTTACTAATTTTCTAAATACCTGTTTTCAGACAGCCGCCCTGCTCGCCGAAGATCTGATCCCGTTGGAAGATGCGCTGCCGGTGCTGCGCGAGGACCCGAATCGAGTCCGCGCCTTTACGCCGGAAAGTGTACGCGGGCGTACGCAAAGGTGTGGAAAATTCTTCTTGATTATTACTTTTTCTAGGCTCTTCCGCAACACCAACGAATACCAGCAGCGGCAGGAGGCTCGCGAGAGGGAGGTCGAGCGGGCGGCTGCCAGGATTATTGCCCATTTCGCTGCCGAGGTTTTTGAGATATTGATGATTCTGAAGGATAACGGGGGCTTTAGGACTATTTAAATAAAAAAAACCAAAAATCACAAATCAAAATCAAAAAAATCGTTTTATTAAAAAAATTAGATTGGAGGGATATATATCGAAAATCGAGCTTTTTAAGGTTCTTTTTATTCGTCTAAAAACCGATATAGCCGTAATAATGTTTTATTTTGTAGTGTCATTGACTTCAACCGGGAATATAACAGTTTTGATGCGGAAAAAGCAAACTTGGAAGGTATCTGGCGAAAAAATGAAGTTTCTTGCGATTTTAGGATCTTTCAAATTCCGTAAAGGTTCAGAATTACGTAGAATATCAATTTTTATTTGTATTTTATTTTATAAACTTTTTTCCAGGAGCAGCGCCGCTATCGTCTCGGCGGCCTTTACACTTGCTGAAATCAGCAACTATTTTCCTTGATCTCCTCATCCGTGCCGTGCATTTTTCACTGTCATTTTTTTGTTGCCAATTCCCCACGCGTCTTTCCTGTGTATTTTTAGCCGTTTTATCTGTGTTTTTTAATAAACGTTTTAAACCGTCGAAAAGCTGTATAACTTTTTATGACTGGTGCGCCAAAAGCTGTACATACAAAAAGTGGGGTGTCGTGAAAAAGAGACAAATTGCACCGGTTCGCCATGGTTGGATAGTTGAGCAGCGGGAAGGAGTATACAAACTACCAGATGCAAAAAACAGATGAACGAACTATAATAGTGAAAAGTAAGTAAAGTAAGTAAGAAATAAGGCTATAAAGCACGGGGGTGTGGGTTTTTGATACACGTTTTTCCTTGGGGCGTGGCAATATGGAAAATGCGACAAATTGAATTCCGAAGTAATATAAAAGCCATACGGTAGATACAAAATATAGTCTTCTAACGTAGTTATAAGTTTTTAATTTGGCAATCTTTGCATTGAGAGATTTGGGAAACATTTGGCTCAATTAATTTGAACTGAGAAATTAAGAAAATCTGGGTGCGTGCCTGACTAAAATAGGGAAACCTGAATTTTTTGAACTTGGAAATGGTATATTTCGTGATTTTAAAGGGATATTGAAGGGAAAATAATATCGAAAGTAGCGAATTTCGGAACTTGAGCAATTTTAATAGTTTTCCTAGTTTTTCTCGAAACTTTTACAGGCTTATGGGTCGATTTTGTCGAATTGTTATTGAAAACTATTCAGTTGTGGATTTTCGATACTTTACAGGTTAAAATGGCTCGATTTTGCCTATTTTCCTATGGGAAAGGGTCAAATTTCTTGATTTCTATGAATTTCTATTTTTTTGAGAGTACCATATAATTTCTCCGCCAAAAATGGCCGATTCTGCCCTCAACTTCCCTTTAAAAACGCTTAGAAATGTCTCATAAATGATAGAAATTCGTTGATGAATATAGAAATCGAGCGAGTGGCAATTGTTTTGACTAGAAAGACCATGCATGATAGTGTGTGGAAAATTCGTGGGTACCTTAAAAATTACGGTACAAAATACAGACAGTTTCGAGGGCTAAAAAGCCCGTTTTCAACGCTTTTCAGTTTGATTTTTGAGACTTAGACATGGCTCTCATGGGACGCTGAGGATACATTGGCAGATATGGTGGTGATACCCGAGGCTGGGCGTGCCCCGGGTACCGTACTCTCATACGAAGGCGGCTGGATGGGAATTGCCGTGGAATTTCGCCGTGATGGCGCGATCCTGGAATGTCGAGGTATCGATTTTAAGGGGTTTTGATGGTTTTTAGACCTCCACCCGACAAGACAAGTAAAACGCCGTAAGACATCAAATTACGCCTCCTGGCGACTCCCTACAGGTGTGTAAAGTATACCAAAATGTTCGTCTTGATCTGGCGAGTATTTTGGTATACATTACAACTCTGTAGCGGCATGCGGAGCCAAGATACTTTAGCTGGGTGTCGGCTGGAGTAACAATAAAACGCAGCCATACAACATAAAAATTCATCGACGGCGTGCTTTTGGACGAGACATAGTGAACGAATAAAACCTTTTGTGAGTATTTGTATACTGATCCGGTTACGACATGTAATTCTTGCCGACTGTTACCTGATCACCCGCTCTGTAGCTGCCTTTTTCTTTAGGTAATCGCTGGAATTGGGTTTTGAAGCTAAGCGGAGTCGGAAATGGTATAAACACGTATAATTAAATCTATTAAGCTAGTTTTTAAAGCCTAGAAACGTTGTTTTGCAAAACTACAACGGAAATTCAGAAAAACGGCAAAAAATTGACAAAATACACTTTTGGAAGCTAGAGAATAGCTCAGAAGCGTAGAATTGGCTTCATAAGAGGCCTAGCGGATTCGATTACGACACGAAATTTCAGCCTCAGCTTGAAGAGTGTATTTTTTTTAAGATTTCTAGGTCTCTAGTCATCAGAAGAAGCGGTCCAACGTCATAAAGTTTATCAAAAAATACTTAAAATTGCTCAATTTTCGCCATTTTGGACAACTTTTCGCTTTTAAAACTCTGATTAGTGAAATTAATGTCCTAGTAATACCATTATATAAAATTCTTATTCATAGCGATCATTTCTGAATTCGGTACCCTTCAAAAACTCACGACGGAGGCTCGGGGAGCGGCGACACCGGCGTCGACCCCATCATCATCGCCTGCTCGTAGCTGGGCAAATCCCGCAGCTCCAGGTCGGCGGCCAGCTTCAAACGGGGACATGCTAGCAAAGGAATTTGGGGAAAGTTTACCTGTTGTGTCATTGTTGGAGACAATGACGCTAAATAAGCCGGCATTGCCGAGCGATCGCCGATGAAACGGTTATCGCCGAGGGCGTGCTGGATGGCGTTGGCGATTAGCACCTGGAAAACCATCGTAAACGGCGGTAGAATCGATTTGAAAAAGTATTAAAAGTGCAGTTAAGGTATATAATGATCTATTAAAGTTATATACCGTTAATTTAAAGTTAAATAACAATTAATCTTAAAATTAAAATTAGTTAAAGTTAAAAATTAATCTTACTGACCTGTCGCCTCCTCTGTCGCTTCATTTCTGAGATTCTCTTGGCCGTCCGGTGGAGGGCCAAACAAAACGCGACCCAGACAACGGCGGCGAGCAGCACCAAAAGTGCGACGAGTCCGGCCAGTACCGCCGACGAGGTGTCCTCGTTCGGGTCGACGGCGAACATCCTGGAACTGTACAGTCATAGTTTGAGGTTCGGGGGTTAGTAAGGTGACCCGGAATAGGTAGTAAGTAAGTAAAAACTGCAAAACGGCCTTGATCTCTGCGTTCAGATTAAGTATCCAAAATAAAAGTTTCGTCGGGGCTTTTTAAAGATTGATTGCGGCCTTTGTAAAACTAGATTAAAATTAAAATCATACCGTAGAATCTTAAAATGAACTTGCAAATAGGAACGAATTTCCCGGAAACTCTGGCAAGCCATTTTGTCGATTTTTAAAGGCCACCGCCATCAAACGCTTCCGGGAATCAATTCGGATAAACAGGAAACAACCCCGTTCAGCCCCCGGTTTGATGGATTTGGGTGCAAAAGGTGCACATGAAAAACAACTGAACTGGTCACTACTTGACGTGCGTAACTAGTACCCAAACGTACAACACAGACTACGTCAAAAAGGCGAACCGACGAGTCAAAGTTCCAGCCGTAAAGTACGCTAGCAGTATATTCAAGCTTTGACAGTAAATCTCGTAAAATTGACAAATTTTGGGTGTTTTACAAACGGCTCACTGATAATAAAGGAAAAGCCTGCCACTTCCGGAAATTCAAATAGCCATAAAAACGGGAATAATCCATTTTATAGGTTTGGGTACAAAAGGCCGTCTGGGTGCACCGGTTTTTTGGGGTTGAAGGGCAAAATTCGTTGAAAAATTGGGCGTATATCGAGCCGTAATAAAAACCAGTAAAAAGCTATCGAACCTTTCTTAATGAATTCACACGTTAATCGGTCCCTTTATTGGGGGTTTAAAGGGGTCAGGATGCACAAGAATCGACCCTTGACCCGCCTAGGTATCGACAGCTACAAGCCCCTGCAGCCCCCTGCCTTGAACAGCCCCGAAACGGAAAAATTCGTAGAAAGTAAAACATCAAAAAGCTAATATTTAAAAGATCAGGGCGGCCTGGCCAATTTAAAGGGACTGGCAAGTGAATTTTCGATGGCAAATGCCAAATCGACGCTAAGTAGTGTAAAATCTCAAGAAATCGAATAAATAGACGATCTCTCTAAGGCTAAAAAGAGTCTTTTTAAAAAAGGGCTTTTGGTTTTCGCAAAAAGAGAAGAATTCTCGTGGCAACAAAAAGAGCTAAATTCCTTTCAAACTCTTAAAAATGCCACAGAATGCGGGAACAACAAAAAGTTGCTGGCTATTTAAAACCTTAATAAACTCGGTACCATCCCAGATCACAGGTCAGGTCCACAGATTAATTTCAAAAACGTGCAGATAGATCATAATACAGAAATTATTTGCAAGCCGAAACCGCTAGAAACTAGATCTGTCCATTTTAATAAGATGCCAGCAACTTTTGGTTGATCCCACATTCTGTGGCATTTTTAAGAGTTTGAAAGGAATTTAGCTCTTTTTGTTGCCACGAGAATTCTTCTCTTTTTGCGAAAACCAGAAGCCCTTTTTTAAAAAGACTCTTTTTAGCCTTAGAGAGAATTTAGCCCTTTTTGCCTCAATCTTATTGTTAAGATCGTAAAATAAGCCAAGTAATACTTATTCAGATGAACCCTTGTACGCAAAACTTCAAAAAAATTTGCTTGCGGCGCTTTGTAACTGTACTAAAAACCATAACGATGCATTCGGACCAATCGGCAAAATGGATGTCGCGGGCGGGGTTCGAACCCGGGAGCCAACTCCCAAGTACAGCGTGCTAACCACTAGGCCAACCGGGAGATTGGAGGCCTCTCTTGGGGGACCTAGACCCGCCCTGTTGCCTGGGGACTGGGGCCGAGAAAGGGGAGGGTGGCGCCCCGTATGGCGAAGGTTTAAAGTTATAATATCTCAGAGAAGAAACATTCTTTCGATGCAATTTCTTCTTTACTTATTCCGGCATGGTCTAATGCATATTTGAACAAAATTTCAGCCCAAACGGACATCACTAACCCTAGTTTTGGCCGCAATTTCGCTTTTAAACTTAAAAATTAAATATAAATTTTTTTAAAATTTATTTTGAAAAAAACGCTTCTTCCTCACCTTCATTTACATCAAGTCGATATACGTGGAAAATTTCAGCCCAAACGGACCATGGGAAGACACTTTTTGACGACTACAAAGGTTTTGCGGGCATACAGACGTACAAACGCAGACCCCCCCCCCTCGAAACGCAATTTAAATCGGCTGTTAAAATTCGAAATTTAACTTTTTTTTCAAATTTTCAGAGCTTATAGTATGCAAAAAGTGTCGCCGGTTCCGATGGTGTATTCAGTTTTGCGATCCGATGCGTGGTTCTTTTTTAAATCCGGAAAAGGACCCCAAAAGAGTCGTATGGGGGGGGTACCTCAAACCAAAAGGGGTTAGCGGGCTACGCCCGCTAACCCCGATTTGTTGGTGGCGAAACAGGAAAGTCGAGGATTTCAGGTCGAAAAATTAAAAAAAAAATCAAAAATTCGTGATATTTTGAGAAAACCAGAATCTAGGGAACATCATCTACTGGTCCTTATAAGACAAAGCCCACAAAATAAATCGCCGTCTAAACACGACCTTGAAAAAAGGGAAACGAAGAGCAGCGGGGGTGGATGAGCCCTCAGGGCATAATCGCGTGTTGGGATTGTCAAGGCGAGAGAGGGCGAGGGAGATAGAGGGAGAGATAGAGAGACAGGCTGGCAAGAACGAAGCCTCATCAAAATGCACGAATGAGTGAATATTAGAGGAAGGATAGGGGGAGGGCGAGAGAGTGGAGAGAGAAGAGACGCGAGAGATAGTGAGATCTACGGGATTGACGGGGGTGTAAACAGGGGGTGAAAGTCGATATAGCTTATGGGAAAGTGACATACACACCACGAGATGAAGTGTCGATGATGGCAAGCCGTGAGAGAGAGCCGGGGGCACTGTTTAGAATTTTGATCGACTTGCCAAGTGGAGGAAAGCAAAGCTGAACATTATCTAAGCATTAAAGCCGGATAGAGCGAGAGAGAGAGAGAGAGAGAGAGAGAGAGAGAGAGAGAGAGAGAGGGTTAGAGATGACTTAATATAATTGCTATGGGATGGTTCGAATCACGGGTTATTTTCGAGCAGCCTCGTTTTTCGAACTGCAAAGGACTACAAATTCCCTGTTCGTTCGAAATCATTTGCCAGGGAAATTACCGGCCCGGACCAATGTCGGCAAATCGGTGCGCATCGAGGAGGGGTTCCATTTGGGGATTATTCTTTTCGTTTTTGGCTTCGGAAAATGGACGGGGAAAGGGGTGGACTGACTGGACGTTATTTTGGAAAGGGGGGACTGTAGGACATATTTTTGGGCTCTGCGTTGAGCTTTAGTTTTCGAAAATCGAAATTTTTCGAGCGTATTTTGAAAGCAATCGCCTAAACCTGTTATAAATGGTTATAAATGAACCGTAGAAACCTATTATAAATGGTTCTTTACCCTCACAGCCCCTTTAAAAACAAAGAAAAAAAAGAGGAAAAAACGAAGCGGTAACAAAGCTAGTAATCCACCGCTCTAAATACGCAGGCAAACGTTGAAAATCACCTCTAAAAGGCCAAAACTCGGATGGGAATTTTCTTTGGCATCATCCTTTGAAAATTCGGTATTCGACTGAATTACCTAGCGTTCCCCTAGGTTTTTCCGTTCGACAACATTTTTTTTGTGGTGGCCAGCAAGCCGTAGTGGCTCAAATTTTAGGGGCGTTCTCCTTTTTCTTTTTCGTTCTGTATTTCGGCAATTTCGCGGGAAAATCCTCAATTTCCGACGGTGGAAAACGGGGAGGAGGAGTCCATTTGCGCCCCATCCCCCGCCCCGACCTACGGAGAAGTCGAGGCCAAACAATTTTACGCCTGTCTCTCTCACTCTTCCCCTCTCTCTCTAGCTCTCTCTCGCTCTCTCGCTCTCTCTCGCTCACTCTCTCCCTTATTTTCCTAGATCCAACTATGGACCGGGCAAGTTGCTGTGGTTTTTTGGGAAAGCGTAAAATGGGATTGCTTTGGATTGGGCGCTGCGGGTCAAAGGTGACCGGAAGAGGCCGAAAATTGGGAGTGTCACCGTGGTTTTTAAGGGCCCTTTAACGGGAGGTTGAAAGGAAGCTAGTAGAAGACGCTAGAAAAACGGTATCAAAAGTGGTTCTTGTGCATTATCGGGGCAAGCCGACATTTTCTTTAGTATTTTGTTCTATTGTAAATAGAGGAAATATTTTCGTATTGTGTTTGATATGACTAAATTCAAAAAGTCCGGCAACTGATTGATCATAAAAAAACGATCTACTTTTTGATCAAAAATGCCGGATTTTGGAAATTATTTAGCATTTAAAAATCATTTGAAGTTTTTCAGGTAGTTTTTCACTTCAAATATCGTAAAACTTTATTAAAAATACGACTAAAATATCTCCTATTTAGTTATTACCCCGACAAAAAATTGTCCCCCCCCCCGATAACGCAAAAATCCCAAATTTTCCTAGAGAATTTATTTTGAAAAATCCTGTCTTGGACGCTTAAAAAAAGCTCATTTAAAGCTCATTTAAAGAGGCGGGCCAGCAAGCTATTCTTGGTGATTTTCCATCATAAGGCCAGAGCCGGCAAGCGAAGCATGTAAACTAGAAGAAAAAACGCCTATGACTACCAGAGAATTTTGCTATTATATGCAAACCGGAAAGAAGTGTCTCAAATGTTCAGACCCATAAAAACGGACGCTGTATCGGGTGAAAAACAAAGCAAAACAAAACATAAAAGCGAAAAACGGTCGTCCAGGCTTTTAGCGTGGCGGGAAATGGGGGTCTTCTTTTCTTCATGGATGCCCCCTTGGTCGAGGGGGGGGGCATAATATAGAATTGACAAGGGGTGGAAGAAGAAGAAAAGCAGAAGCAGCTCTTGAGGACCGGTCAATGGACAGATGGACGAACGAACGAACTGACATACAAACAGGCGAGAGAGGGAGAGAGAGAGAGAGAGAGGGAGAGAGAGATCGCGGGAGTCTATGAGCACGAGAACGAACTCTAGGGCGAAAGGATCCTCCTGGACTCCGATACACAACCAACTCCGCCCGGTGCAATTTGGAAAAAAATGGATAGGGGAGGGACGACAGGGCCAGAGAAAGTTATGCATACTTCTACGAGATACTTCAACTCCCCCATATCGAATCGGGATCCATTTCTTTGGCCAAAATTTGAAGGACGGAACGGGAATCGGAAAGTTTTGTTCGGGAGAAGAAGAAAGCCTGCCAACCCCCCCCCCCCGTTAACAGTCCAGAACCAAAAACGCCAACAAGCTAAGCGCCAAAAACTCACGATTTCGGCGAGCGGTTAAAGTTGAGCCCTGGGTTGCTGCTGATGATGTCAATCTCCACCGGCATCTCTGGCAGATTGCTAAAATGCACTCATTTAATACGGCGCTACAGTGTACCCTCACCTATCATTCCCGAAATCGGTCCATCGGGCCGGCCGATTGGCCAAGTCGAACATTACCTGAGGAAAGGTTTATCAAGCCAAAAGGCATCACAGGAAAAAACTTTAAAAGAAAGAGTTTGGAATTTTATAAATTGAACAACGCGCCGTATAGTCGATAATTCAATTCGTGGTTCTATTAAAATTTGTTAGTATTAAAAAAGCGTCAGCGTTTATAGCAAAAAACATTAAAGTAAAGCTCAAACTTGCTTAATATCCTGCTAATTTTTATTCTTTCGGGATACTATGAGGAACAGGGCGACTTGGATTATAAGCCGCGTAAAGCTTGAGGAACTCCAAACCCGTTTCATAAATCAAAATATTTAATTAAAATGCAAAAATCCATCGCGGATCCCCATAATCGAATCATGAATTTTGGAAACGGCTGCCGGGCCATGACATTAATGGAGTGGCCGGAATCATTTCCATGGAAATGGGAGCCTTATAAAAATGACAATTTTCATTCAGAAAATCGAAGAGAAAGGTGAAGACGATAATCAACGAATAAGGATTCAAAAAATACACTTTCTACAGCCCTAATTATCTAAAGGTTCTACAGTAAGCTTAGTAAGATTACAAAAAAAATTTAAAATGACAAAGAATTTTATAGAAGTTCCAGTTATGTGCAAGAATCTACCGTTTTCCTATCTTTAAGCCACTTTTAAAAACAGAATCGTCTACGAGAAAAAGCATGATGGAAAAATCTACAAGAATTTTGGCACAGTTTGCCTTCCTGGTCGCTTGAAAACATCAAAAATGTCTAGAATCGTGTCTAATACCATTAAATTAATTTTATAGACAAATTTGTCGAGAAAGAAAATTAGCATAAATAAGAAAGCACCGAAATTGTTTTTCACACCGCACTTTGTTTTAAAATGTGTTGAAATTCGTTAAAAATGGCTACTCCTGGCAAAGTAGTAACCAGGGCCAAAAAACCAAGTGGCCGCGCGGCGGGTAAGTTGGCATGGTGCGGGGTGGGGGCGCCGGATCGGCAAACCGAACCAACGCCGCTTTGTCTGTGTATATTTGTGGGCCATTTGCTCTCTCTCTCTCTCTCTCTCTCTCTCTCTCTCTCTCTCGCTCACTCCCCTCTCCCACAAAATTTACCGTGTCTGCCGGCTGGCACCTGTGGGCCGCAAATAATGGGACCTCCCTCTCCATCCCCCCTCTTTAAAAGAAAAGGGGTCCCATTAGGAAATTGGGCAAACTGTTGGTACTACCTACAGAACAAGCGCGAAAAACTGGTACTGTGGATGTTCGTTTTGCTATGGGAATCCGAGCGCACCGGATTACCTGGCGTAAGCAAATATCGTACACCCAGGCTGGCCAAAAATAGGAACCATCGGATGGGTTAAGGGGACTGACCAGGTAGGGCTATGTTATTAAAGGTTATGGATTTTGTTAGACGCAACATGCACGCTTGTCATTAGTACACGCATTGGATTACGATGAGTTACCGTGGCCACGCGATGGGTTCCGGCGGGACACACACAACCGCCCATGGGTGCGGTCCCGATGGCTCCCGGGAAAAGGCGTACTGTACGGGTTTTTGCCTGGTGCGCGAAATAGCAGCATGATTTTAGCTGCGCAGGCTGGCTTTCGCAATAGCGCGCCGCGTCTATCGCAAGCGTTGCGGTCTTTCTTGCTTTCCAATTCTACCGGACGTTTTATTAGGCGCCGAGCCGCTGTGCACTGGGGGGCTACGCGACGATGCTATACAGAATGCCCGAAAAAAAAGTCCGCAGTAATGTCCGATTCTTATGATTTAGGTATCTATCGAAAGCTGATCGAGACGAGCTGATTACATATGTTGTTCCGGATTTCCAAAATTTCCGAATTTTTTTAATTAATAAACTTTTTGTGAAAGGGATCGATCTTTGGAGGCTTTGGAATGCGTTCAAAAACAGAAAATCTATGAATTTTTACGTCTTTTTCGTCTATCCAACGACTTCGACAGCCTTTCGAAGGCATGCCACAGCTCGGGTCTCTTTTAAGCGAATTAAATTGAGTTTCTGGAAAAAGTAGCATTGGCATGAAAGATGCCGAAAATCGAGCGACAACTTCAGGAATTGCGAAAACCCAGGAAAACAAATCTCCTCAGCTCGCCAAGAGCTTTCATTTGATAGGTAAATCGTAAAGATCGGCCCGCTGGGTAGCAGGGATTTTTTATGCGTGTGGCGGCCACAGCAAAATCCATAGGGAATCTATGGCCAAAAACCCATAGTCTTGCACCTTTAAAGGGTCGGTGAAGTCAAGGAGAAGCCGAGGGATCGTGAAACGTATCAAAACCAGGTGAGGCTTTCCAAAAATCTAACGAAACTGTGAAATTTTGCGGTAACTAGTACAAAACCGTCCGCTGGCCGCGAACCCATAAAATTCCGCAAATACCCGCCCGCTTACACGCATCTACCAGTGAAAGCGACGGCCCGAATTTCTGACAAAAACCGTGGTCGGAGCGGGCGCACGCTCGCCGCCCTCGCCCTGCTAGCCGTCTCGAGTACAAAAGAGTACAATGGCATTTGGAGGCTAGGGAGAGTGAGAGAGGGAGAGTGAGAGTAGAGAGAGAGAGAGAGCGAGAGAAAGATCCCAGGGCAAGGTGTTGACTCAGAATACACAATATGGGCCACCAGCAAATACCGAAACAAACAGGGCACACCCGAGATCGTGGCGGGCCCCACGGGATCGGCGCGCCATCTTATTCACTCGGGCGATGGCTTCAAAATAGACGGCTCGAAAGGAATACATCGGAACGAGCTTCATAAGCGTTTTCAAAAGTATCAAATAGCTAAAATAGCGCATGGAGGTTTAAAGGTATTTTGAAAAAACCATTTCTGGCCTTGTTCTCTCCTTCTCTCCCTTCACTTCTTTTTGCTTTTAAAGGCCTCTGGGACGCTGGGGTACTCGGCCGCAGGGGTTGCGGCTGGCGGCAGAGCGCGGACACTGTGGCGGCGTACATAGGAGCGCCGCGTAGGGAAAGGGGTGCTCGGACAGGTCATCCCTCTCCGCCGCCCCCGCCCAGTTGGAGAGCGTGGTATAGTGGATAGCGCGCTGGACTGTCATTCTCACGGTGCGGGTTCGACCCCTCCCGGTGCCAAGGTCTTTCGCTTTTTCGCGAAAACCATCGTTCTAGAGGAAGGGCTCGAGAAAGATGCATTTGGCGAAAAAGCAAAGAATTTTGAAGGGAGTGGGAGTCGAACCAGTGTGGGTTCACCCCACACTCCAGCATGCTAACCAGTACGGCGCGAAACGAGACGCTGCGGCGAAAAGCCCTCAAATACACTAGGGGTCTTCCACAGACCGCTTCCGGGTTTATCGCATTGGCCTCCGCCGAAATTGGACGTTGAACAAAACTTACGAATTCCCAATCGGAATTAGGTCGATAGTAGCGTGCCGTCGGTCCGTCACCCCGACCGACGCCTGACCATTCAGGCCTTTCAAGTATTTTCCAGAAATGAAAGAGCCCGTTTGGAAAGGCTCTTTTATATATGGCAAATTGCCAGCGACCGCTGTTGGAAGGAACTCCCTCTTTCGATTTTGCGCGATTTCGTTAGGAAATCAATCGAATTCGCGGCTTCTGGGCTCATTTCTGAAATCCGCACTAAATTTTAAACAGTTTTGGCATTCTTATCATCGAATTTGGCCCAGAAACAGCCGAGGACGGGATTTGGGGGTGACGACGGTGACGACGACTCGATGCCCATCCGCACTTCGGGTCGTTTGGTCGCATTCTCGAGACGTTTTTTTCTAACCGCCCTAGCAGCCTGGCCAAAGCTGCTGAAAAGCTGCAATTCGTTGGCCAGATAGAACTTTTCGCGCTCTTTTGAATGATGTGCTTGGCCCCCCAAAATACCTAATTTCAAGCGAGGTATGATGGTTTTACTGCCGCGACAACTTCGGCAAGTACGCATTTTAGCACCAAACGCTCCCCTCTCTGTCCCCAGACGGTTTCGTGTAACGTTAAGTATACCGTTCGAAAGAGCGTGAAAAATGCCATAATTTAGACACCTTTCCACAACTCTAGCGTTGTTGTCCAGGCCGCTAGGGCGGTTAGAAAAAAACGTCTCGAAATCGTCCGCCGACTTCAACAACCTCAAAGGAATGCTACCAAACGACCCGAAATGAGTTGCGAGCTGACCGGCATCTATTTGTGCGAACAGCCCGAAAATGATGTTCATCTACTGACTTGTCCATATACTGCGATCAATGGCAAAAAGCACCCCACGGAACACCCCACAGCGGTCTACTTGGCGCATGTCGTCGCTAAGGACCAGCGCAGCAAAGTGCTGGAAAATCCATAAAAACTAGAGGACCGCGGAGTTTAAACAAATTCGAAACTAATTTGCATAGATTATCCGAGCAGAAATTAGAATTGCGCGGTTTCTTGTCAAAATCCCGCGGTGCATGAATTCATTTTACTACTCGCCCGCCTCAAGATGTGGCTCCCCATTTTGCAGATGCTAAATGTTATCCAAAGGGTGGACAATATTCAAATCAGCCAAATTATTCAAATTTTCTAGGGTACCACTGTCAACCCAGAAGAGAAGAAGACGGCTCGCCGCGAGAAGCGAAACGACCAGGGCCGGAAGAGTATCAAGGACAAGGACGATGACAATCCGACAAGGGTTTTGATCGTGAGGGCATTTTCAAGCGTTGTCCAAAAGTTGCAAAATTTAATATTTTTTACTGGTACAGGCAATCCCAAAAGCGATATTTACGAAATAGATCGTTTACCGAGCTGTTCTGTTTTTAGTAATTTGTTAAACTGACTCCCGATGCCTTAGAACCGAGGTTTTAAGGTTAGAGGGTCATGAAGCTAGCTTGTTTGCGGGTGGGGTACAAACAAAATTCGGGATCATGCTTCTCAGGATAAAAATAGAATAGATTCCCGAGTAATCAGATTTTCCAGGTTGCGGCTCCGGCGATGCTCGTGCCCATGCAGCTCATCCCCATCTCCTTCAAGCGGACTACGAAAGTCTGTGCTTTGGTGAGTTTATAATTGCGACCGGGGGCCAGAAATTTCAAACTTTCGCGTGTCTTCAAGCCAAAGTTTATAGAACCCGGACCTCATCGCCCAGCTCATCGACGTTCGGCCGTGGGCCGTCTCATGGGTGCTCGCCCCGCCGCTCACCGTGCGCACCCACTACATCGTATGGGATTGCCTCGTTTTGCAGTTTTTTCTGTTTTTAGAAATGGTCCACGCAGTTCCACCGAGCCGGGGTCGTTCGCTTCGTCGACACGCTCAAGGTGGCAGCCCTTTTTGTTCAATTTACACAATCATTTCCAGCTCGTGCCCATCTTCCTCTACCGTTCTCCAGGCAACCTAGTGACCCTGCAAGGCCCAGGCCCCGATACGAACCCGCCCCCGACGCCGCTCCCCGCCCCTGAGAATGTCGGTTTTTTTGGGTGTTTCCCCAATGCAAATGGGGCTAGCGTAATGGCTCGCCTTAACCTTTTCTTCGAAATCGTCTAATTTGGATTCTTCTATGGTGAAAACACTGGCTTTTATTAGCGCAATTTGTGCCGTCTGGCTCGTTGTTTATCCAAATTTTTAAAGGGCTACTAAAAATCTTTTCCCGTGTCGCTCGAAACAATTCTACGCGGTTGGCAATTGGCCTGGACGTATAGCCGTATGGCGTACGCAGCCTGCCATTAACTTTTCAATTTCAGTTGCCAAATACCGGCCTCGACGGTGACGAGAACCAGACCTGCCAGTTGTGCAGAAAAGAAGCTGCGACTCGCCCGATGGGGCCCTTCTTTCTCATCGGCACCGCGTGTCTCAATAGGATAAAGTAAGGATTTTGCCACGCTCCTGAAGAGTTGTGATTCAGTTACCAGCGAGGGAAGCCGGCCTGGACCCGGCGCCACCGGAACGACTGCAGCCATAAAAATTTCCAGTGAGTAAATACAAATAAACGACTAGCCTTCAGCATAAACTACATCGAGACATTCTGTTTCAGGGCGGAGTCGCTGCCTACCAACCCAGCTGAACGCCGTGAAAAAATTCGTAGGTCGCAGGCGGGCTTCTCAATTGAATACCTATTTGTAGTGGCGCTGACCGAAGGCAATTGTGGATTCTGCATTTTCATCGCCGCCTCCCTCCTGCAAGTTCCCCTGGACCTCTACTCGTAGCTGTTGGCTCAACGACCGCCGCACCCCCGTACGCAGAATCCCCTCCTAACGTACTACTGCTTTTTCATGGCTGTGTTTGGAATAAAGTATCGGTAAACGGAACCTGGAAATACAGCAAGACATATTCTTAAAAAATCCCAAAAAACGTGCTGAAAAGCCTACTGGCATCAGTTCATTTTGGCGAGGTAAACTGGCACAATTTATTCCACTTATCATTTATATCAAAACAAAGGCAAAACGAACACTTTACAAGGCGGTGGCTTAGGGACACGTAAAAACAAGTTGAGGGGCGGCTAACCCGGATACGCGGGTGCGACTGGGAAAAGCTTATTTAGACTATCGAAAAACGGGAGGCAGCTGTAATCAAAAGTTTGCATGTTTTTAATCCTTAAAAGAGGTCTTTTTAGTATTTAATCGAGAGAAGGAGAACCAAAAATTATCACACGACATTCGGGGGCAAAACGATCACATATGGTGAGGGTACGTAAATGGGGCAAGAAGAAGCGGAAGGAAATCAGTATCTCGGTTTGCGGATGGTGGCACCGGAGCCCTCGAAGACGGAGAAGCCAGGGCCAGCTTTGGCGGCTTCACGCTGCTCCTCCAGCAACACTTCACGGCACTTGTAGTCGCAACGGACAAAGTTTAGCTGGCCGGGTTGGTAGTCCGGGATGCAGATCGGGGTCTCGGTGGTGCTGGTGATCTCGTTGTAGACGACACGGATGCGATCGTCCTTCGTCAGACAGGCCCACTTGCGGAGCTCGGCCTCGAGCATGGCACCGGGAATTAGTTATCTGAAAAAAGGAGTTAATTTGGTTTTTTCCTAGCGAAATTTTGGAAATAGCCAAAACCTTACCTGCACAAAACTCGAGATTCTGCGGCTTCAGCTTGGCATAGGTAGCCTTGGGCAGAACGGCCGAGTCGACACGAACAGCATCGCCCTCATCGAGCGAGCCGGCAAGTAGCAACGACCCTCCTCGGCGCTGAACTCCAAAACGCCGCAGTGCGTCGCCTTCTGGCGCTCGGGCTTGATGTTCATCACCTAAAAAAGCTTAGCTTTAGATGGTAACAAATATTAAAAAAGAGCTTCAATAGCCCTAAAATTTAATCAAAATAAAATACCTTGAACAACATGACTGGCGATTGGTTGTCCATTTGCATGATGTGGTCGAGCACCGAGGGTGGAAGAATAGCTTTGCCGCCACAGTTGATGCCTTGTACCTACAAAAAGATAGAATTTTCGGATCTTTGGCATTGCCGGGAGGACCATCTTTCTTTTTAAGTATCCATTTGTATAAGCAACGCTTTCTAATAAGTTTTATAGTATTCCTAAACGCAAAAAAAAACTACAAATTTCGATTAAAAATACAAAACGATGGATTCTTCGACCCATATATGACCTAAAAACCTTTTTCTCTCCAGTTGTTTACATGTTTTTCCACTTAAAATAGAGTCAAATCCTAGTCAAAAGGATTAACTGGCAAAAGTGGCACCACAAACAAGAATTTACCTTATTCGAGTCGGTGCTCTGCATAAACGGGGCCGAGAAAGCGCGCAAATTCGTGCCGTACGGCTGCTACCGGCGGCCACCCATGAAGAATCTTACGGCCGCATCGCGCATCCAATCCGCCATCCTTTCTGCAGACATTCTTTTGCGAGTCGAACAGGAAAAGAAAGGAAGAAGAAAAATCAAATCGAATACGCCGGAAAACGGATTCCGCGGAAATACACTCTGCGGTTGATCGTCGATGGGTGTATTGCGTACTATCGACAAAGCCTATTTTTCGATTTGAATTGGTTTTTCGACATTTCCTAGTTGTTTGGAGCTTTATAAAACTAAGTTTATCAAAAAATCAGGGCTGGTACCATAACTGTTCACCACCCCTAGGAAAAACCTAAAGTTTACTACCCCTAGTAAACTTCTTACCACCACAGGTGAACTTCTTACTAGGGGTAGTGAACGCGTTCACGACCCCTGGCAAAAAGTTTACTAGGTCGAACTTATATGGCTTCTAGTCAACCAAAGAGGCTTTTGCGCCGGTAAAGTCAAGCCCACGATCATTTAAGAAGGCTATAATATACCTATCATTAACTTTTCAGGGTGAAAACATTTTTCAGCGGCAGTTCCACTTACTAGGGGTAGTAACCTATGTTACTACCCCCTAGTTACCTAGTTACCTTCATAGGTTACTACCCCCCCCCCCAAGGTGGGCATGGAAAAACGGGTCGGGTGTCAAGTCGGAGTCCTAAGACATTGAGGAAGAAGAGAGACAAAAAAATTTCCGGGGGGGGGGGCGAAGTTTGCCTAGATAGGCCTAAAGGGTTGTCTAAAGTCTTTTTTGAAAAGTAAAAATGTTGAGCTTTTCGGGTCGAATTCACGACGAAAATTGATTGACTATTAATCAAAAAATAAATTCTTAGGCTATACACAATTACTATAGTACCGAATGATTTTACGAGTTAGCCTATATCCCCACTCTTGTGAGAAAATTGACTCACGAAAGCACAAAATTTATTGGGGTAGTAATAAAGTTTACCAACGTGAAAAGTTGAGTATACTCGTTTACTGGGGTAGTTACGTTTACACTTTGCGTGCATTTTTCTTGCGACTGAGCAAAAACTTGAGCAACTTCGTCACTGAAGTATGTAGCTGAGGCACTGGACTACCTAATAACGGCTTTAAACAACTTTAAAAAGTTGCGATATTTAAGTTTAAACTCTTTTTAAAATAGCGTTTACTACCCCCTGTTGACCAAAAGTGGCAAACCACCCCTAGTAAAAAAATTTTAGGCCCCTAGTAAACTTTTTAAGGGGGGTGGTAAACTTTTTCACTTGGGCAGTAAGTGCGAGTTACCGGTGCGGTAAACTTTTCGCCTGGGGTAGTAACTTTTTTTAGTCGACTTAACGCCGGATTGAGAGATTTCTCTAGGTATTTTTGCTGCGGAAACGCAAGCTTATCGACCCTAGGATCATTTCTGAGCAACGGGAGGTGTTTTTAGGGGTCGGCGTGCAATTTTGGGCTCCTCGAACGTTTCAGCACCAATCAACCTAGTTTCCACTTACTAGGGGGAGTAAAGACGTTTACTAGTCAGGTTACCGGGGTGGTGAAGAGTTTACTAGGGGTAGTAAGCCGGAAATGGGGTGGTAAACAGGTTATGGTACGGGCCCAGGAAAGCGTGATTTCTAAGCGTTTTGCCAAAACTGTTTTGATCCAAAAATCGATGTTTTTGGATGGTCTGTCCTTTATTCAAAACAGAAATTCGCAAGTAAGAGGATTAATTTCGTAAAAGCCATCTTTAGCGGCTCAGCTCATTTATTTCAAAAGGCAGCAAAAGAATCGGTAAATCGCAAGAAACTACTCCCGATCACAACGAACCTAGTAATTTTCATAAAAACTAATCGAACATTTGTGCTATCCATATTTGCACCCGGATCCGGCTGTTTTTCGCCTTGAAAACAGGGTCAAGGGTAATGTCAGCACGAAATTTTCGGCCGGGCGGGGGTGCTTGGGGCGGCGACAAACTACGCGTGGGCCAGTTGGTCGATCGGGGGTTTGTTGTCGCCCCGCACTGTGGAGCGTCATGTATCCACTCGCGCTTCCCGTGGGAGACTAGAGGGCCTTGCATTGACTCGTGTAATCGAAAAGAATAGTTCCGGGGGTTCTGTTCTATTTCGCGTGGGGGAAAAAACTGTGCGGGCGGGGGGAATTTTCTTCGTTTTTTTATAACGCTTTTATATGATGCTATTTTGAATTGTAATTAAAACTCTTAGTATATTTTTTCACGCTCTATCGAATGTCATTAAAGAAATTTTTGAAAGTTATCGAAAATGTCGAAAACTAGCTTTCGACTCCACGATCCCATGTGGAAACACAGAATAGACCTTGTTTTTGCTATAACTATTTTATAAAACAATATTTTAGATGAAATTAAACTCTGAGTATATTTTTTTATGCTCTATCGAATGACGGGTTCAAAATATCGAAAAACTGGCGAAAATGCCGCAAACTAACATTCCGGAACCAGTTTCAATAGTTTTTTGTTTTTGCTATAACTTTTTTATATTACAATATTTTTAGCTAAAACAAAAAATCTTAGTATATTTTTTGATGCTCTATCGAATGGCGTTGCAAAAATCCCGAGAAAATAGCGAAAAGATGGAAGGTTCCGCGAAGCATATCCCCCCCCCGGACAGTTTTTTCCCCCACGCGAAATAGAACAGATCCGTTCCGGGTAATGAAACGGGGCCGAAAAGACAGGTTTGATACGATTAAACTAGAGATTTTGTTACGATTAAAAAGCAGCAGTTTTTGAATTTGAGCAATGGCTACCCGAACATCGCCGCGGCCATTCAACGCTTCTCCGGCCGATTGGCCTGGACGGGAATATCGTCCCTATGACTGCGGGCTCAGAATTTGGCCTAGCCCCTCCCGCCACTTTTTCCAATTTCTCATGGTCCTATCGATCGTTTGGGTCTGGATTTGAGATGATCTACAGGGTGTCCCAAAAAAAGACCCCCATTCTAGCGGTCCGCAGTGATGTCCGATTTTGAGGATTTAGGTATCTATCGAAAGCTTTCGACGAGGTGAGAAGATATTTTCTTTCCGACTTTCGAAATTCCCGAATTTTTATGTCATTTACTAATATTTTTGCGAAATTGGCTGAAGTTCGATGCCTTTTCCCTTGCAAGTGTTTTTAAAAAAAAACACCATTTTCGAAATTTCGACATCTGCCTTGGCAGCCCAAGCTCGGCTCTTTGAAAGGCATTTGAGAAAACTCAGCTTGGATGGGACTTAAACCGATTAAACTGAGTGAGTTTATGCACAAAATTGCGTAATTGACGCCCAAAAAACGATGAAAATCGGGTTAAAAATTCGGGAATTTCCCAAATCGGAAAGAACCTATCTCCTCAGCTCGTCGAGAGCTTTCGATAGATACCTAAATCGTCAAAATCGGACATTACTGTACACCGCCAGAGGGGGGCCTTTTTTGGGACACCCCGTATATGGAAAGTGGAGCGTATCGGAAATTGATGAATGCTTGGATGAGAGTGGGGTTAGAAACTTTTGAAAAGTAATTGCGTTCTGGTGCATTAGCGGGGGATGGGATAGGGACCTGGGGAGAGGGGTGCCCAGAGGAAGAAATGCATTATTAGATGGAAAAGGTAGCGTTGCGCCTCGCGCATCGCCGTAAAATCTATATCCTACCTTATAGACCTCCCGAACCCCCCCCCCATTTACCCCCATACTTGTGGGGGTTGGATGGGGGTCATAGGGGGGTTGCGAGGGGGGTAGGGTGGGGGTTGGGCGGGGTGTTCGAATGGGGGTTTCCAGGGGTGTTGAAAAGGGGGGTCTGGATGGGGGTTTTGGGGGGCCCAAGAGGGGGTCTCGGAGGGTTCGATGGAGGGTTTGGTGAGCATGTCAAATTGCGAACATTTTCATCATTTTCGAGCAGTTCGCACAACTCGGCGCCAATCCGATTGCAACTCAGTTGGGGGTCGTTTGGTAGCATTTCTCCGAGGTTGTTGAACACGGCGGACGATTTCGGGACGTTTTTTTCTAACCGCGCTAGCAGCGTAAAAAAGCTTGATAGAAATGCTTCAAGCCGTTGAGAAGGTTGCATTTTAAACGCTCTTTCAAACGGTATACTTGCCGTTCTCCAACACCGTCGGGGGACAGAGAGGGGAGCGTTTTAGTGCCGAAAGGTGTACCTGTCGAAGTTGTCGCGGCAGTAAAACCATCATACCTCGCTTGAAATTAGGTATTTTTGGGGGCCAAGCACACCATTCAAAAGAGCGCGAAAAGTTCTATCTGGCCAACGAATTGTAGCTTTTCAGCAGCTTTAGCCAGGCTGCTAGGGCGGTTAGAAAAAAACGTCTCGAGAATGCGACCAAACGACCCGAAATGCGGATGGGAATCGAGTCGTCGTCACCATCGTCACCCCCAAATCCCGTTCTCGGCTGTTTCTGGGGCAAATTCGATGATAAGAATGCTAAAACTGTTTAAAATTTAGTGCGGATTTCAGAAATGAGCCCAGAAGCCGCGAATTCGATTGATTTCCTAACAAAATCGCGCAAATCGAAAGAGGGAGAGCTCCGTCCAACAGCGGCCGCTGGCAATTTGCCAGAAATAAAAGAGCCTTTCCAAACGGGCTCTTTCATTTCTGGAAAATACTTGAAAGGCCTGAATGGTCAGGCGTCGGTCGGGGTGACGGACCGACGGCACGCCACTATCGACCTAATTACTATTGGGGATTCGTAAGTTTTGTTCAACGTCCAATTTCGGCGGAGGCCAATGCGATAAACCCGGAACCGGTCTGTGGAAGACCCCGAGGGTATTTGAGGGCTTTTCGCCGCAGCGTCTCGTTTCGCGCCGTGGTGTACTGGTTAGCATGCTGGAGTGTGGGGTGAACCCACACTGGTTCGACTCCCACTCGCTTCAAAATTCTTTGCTTTTTCGCCAAATGCATCTTTCTCGAGCCCTTCCTCTAGAAAGATGGTTTTCGCGAAAAAGCAAAAGACGTTGGCACCGGGCGGGGTCGAACCCGCGCCGTGAGAATGACAGCCCAGCGCACTATCCACTATACCACGCTCACCAACTGGGCGGGGGCGGCGGAGAGGGATGACCTGCCGGAGCACGCCCTTCCCTACGCGGCGCTCCTATGTACGACGCCACAGTGTCCGCGCTCTGCCGCCAGCCGCAACCCCTGCGGCTGAGTACCCCAGCGTCCCAGAGGCCTTTAAAAGCAAAAATAAGTGAAGGGAGAGGAGGAGAGAACAAGGCCAGAAATGGTATTTTCAAAATACCTTTAAACCTCCATGCGCTATTTTAGCTACTTGATACTTTTGAAAACGCTTATGAAGCTCGTTCCGATGTATTCCCTTCGAACCGTCTATTTTGATGCCATCGCCCGAGTGAATAAGATGGCACGCCGATCCCGTGGACTTTTCACTTTTCATCAAAAGATTTCTTCTACTCCCGCGTAGCTACTCCTTTTAATTGTCATTATATTCCGGCTAAGAAAGTCTTCAAAAAAACATCTGACCGGCTTATCCCCGTCTACCGTATCTGCCGTAATTGTGTCCTCGTCATTCTACTCTCCTATTCCATTTCCCCCCCCCCCCCCCCGTTCTCCCTCTTTCACATCTTCATAATATTGACATTTAATCAGTATTTTCCCTTTATTTATCTATCCTCTCCACCACCCTATTTACGCCTGATTCCTCGCACTGTAAGAGTTGACTTTGTGAAACCTTGCGTGAGAATAAATAATATAAATAATATAATATAATATAAACCTCCATGCGGTATTTTAGCTATTGATGCTTTTGAAAACGCTTATGAAGCTCGTTCCGATGTATTCCTTTCGAACCGTCTATTTTGATGCCATCGCCCGAGTGAATAAGATGGCACGCCGATCCCGTGGGGCCCGCCACGATCTCCGGTGTGCCCTGTTTGTTTCGGTATTTGCTGGTGGCCCATATTGTGTATTCTGAGTTTCCTTTCACGATCCCTCGGCTTCTCCTTGACTTCACCGACCCTTTAAGGTTCTTGACTTCTTGATTTTGGCGATCCAGGACCCTCCTCCCAAAACGACTCAGCTCAAGAGCTACAAAATGACATGTCGGATGCGCAGAATGGAGCCATCTACGATTTTAGGCAGCTTTCTAAAGGATCGGCGACAGAACTTTCGTGCAACTTGCAGAAATTTTTTTTTTCTTTTCGCGTTAAAGCGCTATGGCCATCCCAGAACACTTTATTAATAATCACACGAGATCACAGCACCAGTAATAGCGATTCGACATTCGGAATTGATACAAACAAACAAGACTAGACGTTCGTTTCTTTAATGTGAGTGTGTAATTGGGGCGTGCGCGTCGAGGGGTTCAGCGCTTCTTCGGCGGGTCCATGGCGCGGTAGAACGCGCGGCGCTGGTCGACGCTCAGTGTGCCGAACCACTGGAAAAATGATGGTTTGAGGGTGGAGAAGTGCGGCACCACCTTCTCAAAAGCGCTCGGCTTGCCGCCGTCGCCGAGCAGGCTGGTGGTGGTCGTCGTGACGGTGGTGGTCGACAGGACGTTCTCCACCGTGGTCGTCGAGCTGCCGGTGCGCGCCTGGAAGCGAGACAATTGAGAGGAAGTGAGAGAGAGAGAGAGAGCGAGAGAGAGTGAGAGTGAGAGAGTAGGAGTGAGAGGTCAGGCCCAAATCCTCACGCTGAGCTGCGGCGACGAAATGCTGGTGTACAACGAGCGCTGCGTGGTCGTCTGCGGCGAGCGCGCCGGGGCCAACGAGGAACCCTGGGGGGTGACCGGCTGGCGCAGCGCGGCGCCCTGCGGCGTCGTGGGCGGCTGCTCGCGCGGCGAGACGTCGAGGGCCGTCACCGACGTCTGGCGCTGCACTTCGGAAGGGCACTTCAGCGCTACGGACGAGGTCTTTTTCTGGAGAAGAAGATAAAAGTTTGGTGCCCCCGCTAACTAACCAGCACCAAAAATGATTGCACAGCTAGCACCCAACCCCTCCTACCTCAATGATCCAGCGCTCGAGCGGGGCACCAGAGCCAGTGGCGCGCTGGCCGGAGTTCGGGCCCCGTTCTGGCTTCTGTCCTCCGGCTTCCGGCTCGTGCTGCAGGTTCTGGATCGGCTGCAGCAGGGCGATGAGGTTCTGCATGGCGTCGCGCGTGGGGCTAGCGATGCGACGGGACGGGCTTCCGGCTGGGCGGCGGGTTGACGTGCCGGCCTGGCAAGTAGCCGACGGGACCTGGCCGACCGGGCTGATGGCGCGGGGGGCTGCAGTGCCGGCGGGCTGTTGCTGCTGCTGGAGGGTGCGGAGGAGGCTCTGCATCGCGTCATTTCCGGGACGAACGGCCGGCCGCCGCTGAAGAATAAAATTTGATATGCCTTGCCTCCCGATAAAAGACCAGAACCGGAAAACGCATATAACCCCACCTGAACCCCTTGCTGACCGAGCGAGCTGGCGGGGCCGCGAATCTGGACCGGGCTGACGGCACGGTCGCGCGACGTCGAGGCCACTTCCTGCTGCTGCAGGGTGCCAAGGAGACTCTGCATCGCGTCACGCGACGCGACCGGACGGCAGCCGGGCGAACGGGCCCACTGACCGCCCTGAGCGCCCTGATGTCCAACCGGGCTGGTGGCGGCGCGGGCGATGCGCCAAGGGCTGACAGTACGGCCGCGTGGCTGCTTAGGCGCGGCGTCCAGCATCGAGCGGATGGAGGGGCTCAGCAGGGGGGGCGCGTCGCGGCCGCCCAGCGGGTCGATGATCAGCTCCTCCGAGTCCCAGGCTGCCGACATGGAGAAGGCCGGGGCGCTGACCGAGGCGACGGCACCTAAAGGATTGGGGTTTGCGCGGTGCTTTCGCAAGATCGGGGGGGTAGACAGTTAGAACTCGGCCCACCACTGTATCCAATGTTCACAGGCGCGCCAATGTGCTGCGCCGACAGCTTCATGCGGAAGATGGCGGTCTCAATGGGCCGGATCTCGGCGTCGAGCTCCTCCTGCTCACTGTGCATCGACTCGAGCTCCTGAAGTTGGTTCTCAATGCCAGATACAATGTGCAACAATACGTTGTACAGGTCCCTCTTCTTCAGCATTCCGCCCTCGCACTGCCGCGCCATCCGCTCCACCTCATCCGCCAGCAGCTTCCGGGCCCTAATCGCATCGTTGCAGTCGCGCTCGAACTGTGCCTCCTGCGAGGCGAGCTCCTGAAGGAGTACAAGCGTTGACCGTCTACAGATGCACTCGTACCCGAACGGCCACCCGCTCGTTCATGATGGTGCGCAGGAGGAGCTCGTGGGCCATCAGCCGGAGCTTCACCGCATTCTGGCGCACCTTCTCCTGGGAGTCGGCCTCGTACTCCTGGAAATGGGGAAGTATAGGAGATGGTTTTTGGGAAACGCCGAAATGCAGACACGCGACGCAGTGTGCGTGCAACTCCACGTCGCGAACGCGTGCAGCTAGCCAGGCCCTCACCAGGACGTGATCCAGGTTGCGCAGCGTGTCGGTCGGCAGCCGGCCCTGGTGGCGATGCTCGATCGGACCAAATCGGACCGGAGGTTCCTCTCGCTGGAAAATGGAAGTTCCGCATCGTCTGGAAATCCGTGGAACGCGTCGTCGATCCGAACACACACCTCAGGGTCAGCTCCTCGATCTGCGCGTCCATCTCCCATTTTGGTCGGACCATGCCCTCTACTTTGCCTGAACAGCTCCATAACATGGAGAAATGGGTTGCTGACAATCAGCTATTCATTGCTATCCCTAAATGTGCGTCTATGCACTATGGGAAGCGTAATCCTAAAATTTGCTATTCTATTAATGGCCAGATATTGCCTCAGGCTACACAAATACGTGATTTAGGTGTTCTACTGTCCAATGATTTCAGCCTGTCACCACATGTTCTCCATAGTAGTCGACTTCCTAGACTTTATAAAAGCGTTCAATGTTTATGCCCGACCTATAATTGAGTATGCCTCACCTGTAACCTCTCCCGTTTTAAAAAAAGATCGCATTGCAATTGAAAGTATACTTAAGGATTTTCTTAGAAAAGTTTGCTATCGATGTAGGGTTGATTACAAGTCTTATCGTTCGGCACTAGAACAATTCAATCTCCTTCCGCTGAACTATAGGAACACAATTGCTGACTATTCCTTCCTTTATAAACTCCATAAATACTCTTCCAATGTTTCTACAAGCTCATTTTTTAGTGTCAATTCTTCTTCCACTCGTGGCCTCCCCTACAAACTACGACCCCTAATATCGTCCAAAAAAAATCCTACCACAAAGCCTTTTTTAGCTCAAGAACCTGCTCAACCTGGAATTCCCTCCCCCCCTCAATCGTCTCTGCTTCATCATGTGAAAGTTTTCGTAAATCTATATCCAAGCTCATTCCAGTAGATTATGTACTATCTTAACCTTTATATCACCATGCCCCTATTCCTCATCATTATTTACTTTTTCTTTCTTGCTATTCCATTTTTTTCCTCTTTCTCGTTTTTCATATCATATTCCCTCACTTTTAAGCGTTTCTCATTGAAACCTTAGTGTTGAATTGAATAAATTAGAAAAAAAATTTTGGCGACTGGAAAAGGACAATTAGGCCAGAACGTTAACAAAAAGTTCAGAATTCAAGATAAATCCACATTTTCAAGGACCGAAGAAGGTTATAATCCATTGCTCGAAAGCTCCCACTTCAACTCCTTCAGCAGGTTCCCATCCGCGAGCAGCTCGGCCTTCAGCTGGCGCAGCTCGGCGACCAGCGCCGCCGTTTCAGCTAAAAATGGTGGAAATTTGGATAGAATTTAATTAGAATCAGAGCTAATTAGCATAAAAATAAAATTAGAATACCAACCATCCAATGGCTGGCCGACGGACATCCTGGCGTCAGGGGGGGTCGGTTTGTAGAATGGATTTTCCGGCGAGGAGTGTTTGCTTTTATACCCGCGGAAGCATATGGAAATCGAGATTAAAATGTTTAATATTTGATTGCATGCAAATTTGGGCCTTTCATCTGTAAATGTAAACAATATATCATTTATCATTTATCCTACCTTATATAATTTTGGAGTGTATCTCTGTGTGTGTGTGTGTGTGGATGTCACTTTCGAGGCCCGATTTGAGGGCCTTCCCGTGGATACAATGTTCCAATTTTCCGTCACCCGGGGGAATCGACCCTTCTGTTTCCGATGGCGTTCTTAGAATTTTGATACAATATAAGTTTACAAAGTTAGAGTCGGTTTTATTCATTTTTAGGGGTACCTGAGATCTAATTTGCATAATGTGAAAAAATACAAATTTCCTCATTCTGGCGAGTTGCACGCGCGTGTGTGGTGGGGGGGGGGTCCGAAGGACCCGAGCTACCGTAAAGTCAAATTTCTCATGCAAACGCACCATTCCAGCGCCGAAGGCCCGCGAAGCGGGTTTTGGGCGCTGGTACTATATATAAAAAAAATAGTTCCTGTGTGTCTGTGTGTGTGCATTTGCATGCAATTTCCGTCAGCGTGTTCCAGTAGTATCTCAAGAGGGGAAGTACTTAGGGGTATGTTCGATACGTCGTTCGGTGCGTAATGGCTAACGTAACGTAACGTAACGGCTGCACGCATATTAGATTTTACAAAATATGATGTTTTCGATATTAAAATTAAGTTTTTCATGGAAACTCGGACACCCCACTTTGTGAGGATCAAATTAGCATGCACCGGAAGTCGCGGTAGCCTATATAAGGGGACGGCAAGAGCATTTTTCATTTTTGTCATCCGAATCCGGGAAAATTATGAATATCATTGGAGAAGACGGGGCCAGGGTTGAAAAGCCGCGAAGCGGTTTTTCAACCCTGGTTCAACTTAATTTTTGACTCCGCCTGGCGATTGCTCCCTTCAAAATTCAACTTCATTTTTGACCCCAGTAGGGAGCTGCTCCCTTCAAAATCCTACTATCCTACTATATATAAAAAATAGTGTTTGTGTGCGTGTGTGTGTGTGCCACTTTGCATCCACTTCCGTCTGTCTGTCCGGAGGATATCTCAAGAAGGGACGGGTATTAGGCTACGTATGATACGTCATTAGGTGCGTAATGGTTCAGGGATGACTGCACACATATCAGATTGTTAAAAATTAGCCATTTTCGCTATTAAATTTAGGTTTTTGTAAAAACCTCTTTGTTAGGAGTAATTCACATAAACCGGAAGTGGGCGGTGCCTATATAAAGAGGCAGAAAGGGTTGTTTTTCATTTTTTTGTCTTCTGAATGGAGGACAATTATGCAAAGGGCCGAATAGTATGGGGTCCTAGACGGGCCCAGGGTTGAAAAGTCGCGAAGCGGCTTTTCAACCCTGGTATATAAAAAAAATAGTGTCTGTGTGTGTGTAGGTGTGTGCATTTGCATGCAACTTCCGTCAGCGTGTTCCAGTCTCAATAAGGGGGGGCAGTGAAGGGTATGTTTTATACCTCATTAAGTGCGTAAAGACCGTGGGATGGCACGCTCATAAAATTTTCAAAAATTCGGTGTTTTCGATGTTAAAATTAAGTTTTTTGTTGAAAAATCGAGAACCCTCTTTGTTAGGAAACAATTAGCATACGCCGGCTTAGGCTTAGCGCCTACAATTTTTGACTCCGCTTGGCGGCTGCTCCCTTCAAAATTCAACTTAATTTTTGACCCCAGTCGGGAGCTGCTCCCTTCAAAATTCAACTTAATTTTTGACTTCGCTTGGCGGCTGCTCCCTTCAAAATTCAACTTAATTTTTGACTCCGCTTGGCGGCTGCTCCCTTCAAAATTCAACTTAATTTTTGACCCCAGTCGGGAGCTGCTCCCTTCAAAATTCAACTTAATTTTTGACCCCACTCGGGGCTGCTCCCTTCAAAATTCAACTTAATTTTTGACCCCAGTCGGGAGCTGCTCCCTTCAAAATTCAACTTAATTTTTGACCCCAGTCGGGAGCTGCTCCCTTCAAAATTCAACTTAATTTTTGACCCCAGTCGGGAGCTGCTCCCTTCAAAATTCAACTTAATTTTTGACCCCAGTCGGGAGCTGCTCCCTTCAAAATTCAACTTAATTTTTGACCCCAGTCGGGAGCTGCTCCCTTCAAAATTCAACTTAATTTTTGACCCCAGTCGGGAGCTGCTCCCTTCAAAATTCAACTTAATTTTTGACCCCAGTCGGGAGCTGCTCCCTTCAAAATTCAACTTAATTTTTGACCCCAGTCGGGAGCTGCTCCCTTCAAAATTCAACTTAATTTTTGACTCCGCTTGGCGCCTGCTCCCTTCAAAATTCAACTTAATTATGCTAATTAGCCTGCGGCGCAAGCTTGAAGGGCTGGCTATGACCTTGGGCCCGCGGCGCTAGCTTGCCCGGCTAACTTCCTTCTGAAGCCTACGGCGCTAGTTTCAGGGGTCGGCCTGAACCTTTAGCCTGCGGCGCAGGTTTGAGTGCCTAACTTCGTAATAACGCCCTATACGGCAATCTACGCCGAAACGCGCTTTCCGAGCAAAAAGCAAAACAACTACGATATCCGAGGATCGAACCTCCGATGGTTAGATTAGCACGGCGAAGCGCTAACCACTACACCATGCAATGCTTGGCAGCACGCGCCAAACACCCCTTTTATGTCTCAAGGGGGCTGCCCAGGGCAGGGGAAGGAAAGGCATCGAGAGGCAGATCCGAAGAGACGACCAAACTCGCGAGTGCAACTGGCAAGAATGAGGAAATTTGTATTTTTTCACATTATGCAAATTAGGCCTCCCGGACCCCCAAAAATGAATAAAACCGGCTTTAACTTTGTAAACTTGTATTTTATCGGGATTCTGAAAGCGCCATCGGAAAGAGGAGGGTCGATTCCCCCGGGTGACGGAAAATTAGGGCATTTTGGACACGGGAAGGCCCTCTAATCGGGCCTCGAAAGTGACATCCACACACACACACAGAGATACACTCCAAAATTATATAAGGTAGGACGAGGTGGCTGCTCAAATGTCATCTGCAATAACCTCCCACACCGGTGGTTGGTTATGCGCCTGCCGATCTTCCTCGCCTGCATCGCGTTGCTGCACATGGACGGTGACGAGACGGGCCGCGACGTCACCCCCGTGAAGGACGGGCGTCACGTCAACGACCCGCCGCGCCGCCTGCCCATTGCCGCTGCGTCTACGGATTTTTTCGGGGGTTCCAACCCCGAGCATACTATTTGCGAAGGGTTGGGCCTGTACCGCTCAACAGGGGGAGAACGGGCCCATCAGGGTCCGTTCGGAACCCAACACATGAACGGTGGAGGAGAAGCCCTTCGGGGTGTAATCCGAAACCGACACACAAAGAGTGGAGAAGGATCCCGAAAGGGTGAATTCAAAACCCAAACAATGAAAGGTGGAGAAGGATCCCTTCGGGGAGAACCCGAAACCGAAACCACGAACGGTGGAGGAGAAGGCCCACGGGGTGGAAACCGAAGCCAAAACACAAATGGCGAAGGAAGCTCCCGTATGGGTGACTTTATAAGCCAAAACAATACAGCCCCTATGCTGGCTATGATGACTCTACTTGAATTTGGAACAACAAACAATAACAACAATAACAGTGGAGAAACAACCCATGAGGAGGAATACGATCATGAAAATCGGGGCTCGATTAATGCATTTCTTGATGAGTCATTACCGGGCTCGAGGCTTACGGACGCTGTGGAGGATCTGGACTTCAGCGATCCAGATGTTCCCGGGCCTTCAACCCGCATTCGTAAGCCCACCAAAAAAGAGAGACAAAGGGAAAGGAGAGCTCGCGAAACGCAGGAGGAAAGAGATCACCGATTAAGTAAAAACCGCATAAGTAAACAAAGAGTTCGCGAAAATATGACGCCTGAGGAGCGCGGTGCTCTGACAGATAAACACCGTAAAGACCGACAAATCAGTAGAGCGCGTTTGACGCAAACTAACATGGCGTCCAACGGTAGCATGTGCCCATCGCCTAAAAAACGAGCAAGATTGCAAATACAGTCTATTCAAAATTTTCCAGAGTTACTGGACGGCACCTCCGCTGAAGTAATAAACGCCGACGCAAATAATATTTCAACTGATGATGTTAATGCCATGATTGTAACACAACAACAAGATCGAACCCAAAATCGTCTTAACATAAATGCGGCCCGCATGGCAAAACGGCGCGAGCGTGAGACACAAGCCGAATCACAAGCTCGACGGGCTGCAAATGCGGATAGGATGACGCAACTCAGACAGACAGAAACAAATGAAGAGCGACAAGCCCGCTTGGCCGCAGATGCTGCGAAGCAAGCCCGTCGCAGAAACCTTGAAGCACCACAACAACGCGACGCTAGATTGGCCGCAGCCCGCGATGTGGTCTTTCCATCTCGCACAGGGCCCCGTCAACCCACCACGACAGCCGGCGGAATTGCCCGCTACCACGACCAAATTCCGGATTTGCATGATTTGGGACCGATGAATATTGAATGCACCGAATGTCATGCTCTGCACTGGCCACAAGAACTTAATGACAGAGGCAAATTCAGTATGTGCTGCCGCAAAGGCAAAATTAAAATGCAAATTTTCGTAAACTACCCCGATGAGTTGAAAAGGCTTCTGACTGGCACTGAGCGTCGCCATAAAGCATTCCGCGAGCATATCCGGAATTACAATAGCTCATTGGCCACAGCTTCAATTGTCGCCAAACTCGATACTCCACGTGGAAATGGACCAGTTCCATACAAAGTACATGGCCAAGTCGTTCACTTGGTGGGCGGCTTAGTTCCTCAAGATGGCCAGATGGCTCAATGCGCACAAATACTTATCATGGACACCGGAGACGCCGCTAACGAGCTAGCAGGTCGCCAAGTAAACCGTAAATGCGAACGAGAGATTTTCATCGAGCTTCACGATTTGCTA